TTTAATTTCTTACTTTTACTAAATTCGGTTTCTAGTTCAGAGAACAGATATTTATGTTTGCCGGAAAGTTTCTGCAGAGCATATTTTTCAAGCCTCTTTAGCGCTCCAATTTCCATCTTGCATGAATAATGTATGGAGCCTGGACGTTTTAATATTTTTCAATTTAAATGCGGGTCTTTTTCGATAATTAGTTAATTTGAACTTTTGTTCAACTTTTCGATTACTAAAATTTTATATAATTCGGTATACTGTAGGCCTTATATTTCCAAACTAGGTATAAAAGAAAATCTTGACGACTTGAAATTTGATATAGTTGTTACCCTGCAATCCATTCTGCCAAGGCAGAAATATTTCACACAAAAATGAGAGGATATTTCATGTATGACTCGTTTTCCATTCCATGCAAAGATGGATTCCAAATTGGTTAAAGATACTGCTCGAGTTTGGCTAAATTCAATTCAGTGAAGTTACATAACATAGTCATATTTTTAATTATTCAGACTGAGCTTATTTGGAATGGGATATTTAAAACTCTCTTCAATAATACAATAATAAGTTCTAATATCGGAGTGTGAAACTTTGTACAGATTGGAAATGCATTATGCACACCTAGAGCATTAGTGTTTTAACGCTCTAGGTAGTGTGGGACTCTCAACCACTAAAACCCTTCCCCTACTCTTCGCAGTTTACCTTCCCCCGGGACCATCTGTGGGATATTGCTTCAGGGGAAGTTGCGGAATGAAACGCATTCTATGTAGCGTTTGTTTACTTTTCTCTAGCTTTAATTTATAATGATTATAGGTTCCATTTGCCTTTCATCTTTTTCCTATGTCTGTAGCAGAGAGGTAAACAATGGTATGTCCATAAATAAAAAAGTTCAGTAAAGAAGAAAACAAGTTGAAATGCTAACTCACTTTAAAATTTGACTTATTTTTATACACGGTACCAAGCTGTTATTATGGTATGCAACTTAACTTAATTAGCAGTTTTGATAACCAATACCATTATTTCAGCCATATTTACCTGTATCTTGATTCTGGATTTACGACTTTTTACCTCAATTTGAAAACACAGGTAATCATTAAAATAGAAGTATTATCTCGAGTCTTATATTGCAAAACCAGTTTTATTGCTTATCGCTAACATGATTAATGAACACAAAATACTTAAAAAAATGTAATTATTTTCAAGAAGATGTCCTAGACAAAAAAGATTATGATTTGTACAAGGCAAAATTTATTCGCTGTCTTCTTCATCGGAACTATCTTGACCTTTTGTTTTACAACAATATTTTTCAACCTAATCAACATATTATGTCTTATATCACCTTTCCTCATTTCAAAAGACTAAAAATACTTTAAAAAAATCAGCAGCACGCCGTTTCGTGGAGTTACTTATTGTTTACCACTAAGAATTTTGATGGTAGGTAAACATTAACAGAATAATATATAAAGGACATACTATTCTTCACCCCACTAATACATGGAGTTACTGTCTTTATAAAAACTAAAAATACAGGCAACCAACAAAGCGGGACTTACGATTTTTTGCCACAATAACAAATTGAAAGCGGGCACTTTGAAAATGATATTAACTCAATATTGATAAAAAGTGGAGTTACGACTATTTACCTCTCTGCTACAGATGTAGAATAACCGTCTCTATAAAATCACTGATGATTTTCCACTTTGCTTTGTTTTCCATAATGGTGTTAATCACGTTTTCGGGACTTAATGTGGCACCTGCGGCTCCTGTTCGCATTATTTCCCATCTTGGGCAGTGAAAAAACGTATGTTCGGCATCGTCGATCCTAGCATCGCACTAATTGCACGTTTCTTGTTCTTTTTTGCCTATTATGTTGAGGTATGCACCGAAGGATCCGTATCCTGTCAGGAACTGTGTCATCTGGTAGTTTGTGTGTCCCCATTTACGGGGTTTATCCAAGTGTCCACTTGTCTGTACGTCCACCTGCCAGTTTCTCCGGGGTCTCATTGTTCCTGCCACCGTTGTAGAGTCCTTTCTCTTTCCGCTAGGGCTACCTCCCTCAGATTCTCCTTTTCCACTAAATGCTGTTTTAAATTACCACTGGTATTAACTTCGGCGTTGCATGTTACATTTTTTATTTTTCCCATCCGAATGCCTAAATATATGTTTCTTCAAATTGCTTTTTCGTCTAAATTTTGCTCTACAAGTGACAAATTCAAAAAGAAAAATAGGTACCCGAGTGTATTAGTTGGTGACTCTTCAAATTATATTTTAGTTTGAATTTGGCTTTGCAAGTGTCACATGCAAAAGAAGAAATATCCGAGTGTGTCAGTTTATGACTTTTCAATTCGCCTTTCCGTTTAAATTTTGCTTTGCAAGTGTCACATTCAAAAGAACAAATATTCGAATGTGTGAGTTCGTGTCTTTTCAAATTGTTTTTCGTTTAAATTTTGCTTTGCAAGTGTCACATTCAAAAGTATAAATATCCGAATGTGTTAGTTTGTGACTCAAATCATATATTCGTTTAAATTTTACTTCGCAAGTGTCATATTCAAAAGAATAAATATTCGAATGTGTCAGTTTGTGTCTTTGCGAATCGTTTTTTCGTTCAAATTTTGCTTTGCAAGTGTCACATGCAAAAGTATAAACTTACGGATATTGTAAGGTACATATCTCTCTTCCGCTAGTAAGTCAAGCGGCACCAATCCAGCGATAATGAGCGCTGCCTCTCTTGAGACTTGAGACTGTATGATACGCGCTACATACCCGTAGCTCGGCAATTTTTTGGGTAGATCTGACTTATTCTTTGTATTTTTGGTGGTACATGGCATTGAGTCGTAGAGTATGACAGACTGCATTGCCATTGTCAGTACTCGTCTTTTCTCAGGTATTGGTCCTCCTACGTTTCGAAGAAGTGCGCATAGAGCTTTTATGACCTTCTTGGCTTTTTCACAAGATTCCTCTAAGTGCTTGGTTATCCGAAGACCCCTGTCTAGGGTTATGCCCAAGTAGCGGACAAGTTTGCTTGGGATTTTCTCCGTGTCGTCTATTTTAAATTTGATATGTTGGACCTTCCATTTACGGTTTATTATTATAGCAGCAGTCTTTTCTGAGGCGATCTTTAGATGGTTTTCGTCCATCCACGTTCTTATTTTTTTCAGGGCCTTCTTGCCCTGCCTCATCATTTTCTGGTCGCTCATTTTGGAGTCATCCTCGTTCGGCTTTCCTACGATCTTTTCAAGTTCTTCTATAACTTTTTCCCTTGTGACTGTGATATTGAAACCTCTTATGTGGATTGACTCCATTTTTTCCTCTTCGGTTTTCCTGATTTTTATGTTACCTTCTGGGTCCTCGATTGGCTTTTCTTATTTTTTCCATCTCAATGCTGTTTTTGTTCATGGTGATGATGACATTTCCGTTTTTGGTCTTTCAGATTGACCTTATTATCTGCGCAGCTTGGACTATATCCTCGTATGTTTTTCCCTCTTGTCTGATTATCAAGAGGGCTAGGGGTCTTTCTCGATTGGTTCGTAAGACGTTTGTCTGATTTTCGCGTTTCTTGGTTGTATATATTGTCACAACCCCTATACGTTTCGTCCTGGGACGTCACAACAGGAGCGTGACTGGGGGGCGTAGGTGGGGTTCAGGTAGAGAGAAACTCCCTTGGTATAGGTATAATAAGATGTGTGTTGATTAATAATAGTTATTACCCTAGAAATGGTAACATGACGTCTCTTCTACGGAGTGACGCACTACTTAAGGGCCACTCTGTATTAATTATGTACCCTCTGTACACTTGGCGTGACTGAAGACTGAAACTAGGTCTGAGACAGGTCCAGAAGGACGTTTCCCACTGAAGGTAGTTCGCACTGGACCTAGTCTACTGCGTTCAATACTCCCAGAGGGGCGTTTCCCATTAAAGGTAGTTTGCACTGGGAGGAGACTTAGCTAGAAGGGCTTTTCCCATTAGAGGTAGTTTGCACTAGCCTTAGTCTGTTGGTAATGAATTTCGGCGCTGTATTTATACCAAATAAATGCTGACTCGTCGACACACTTTAGTAAAATTGATGTACAGAGTAGTATTTACTTAAGTAGTTGACAATATGATCGTCTTCGTGGAACCATTTTGGAATATCGTTTCTGTTAGTTTTCTTTGACGTTCGATGTGGTGCAGCGCGATCTACTCGTCATATTTTGTCTCTTCTCTCAGTTGGATGAGCCTATGCCAGAGTTCATTTTCTGTGTTACCTTGCATAATTTTGATGACTTTCTGGCAAGTAGAAGAATTCTGGTTTGATTTCTAATTGGATCTCTGTTCCAGGACCGCGAAAGCCTCATTTGTCTCTGTTAGTTCGGGATATCTGTTGTTGTATGAAAGCTGTATGCCTTTCTCCATACCTATGTCCGGTGGTTCAACCAGGACTGTTTAGACTGCCGTATTTAAAGGATTTCCCACTCGGATTTCAGTCTTAATATAGAGTTCCTCGTCCAACCACTTCTCATATGTATCTACTCCTTCTAGCGATCTGTACTTATTTTCTTTGAGCCGTTTGTGTTTGTACATCACTGGTCTATTTTTTAGTGCATATTAGATATTTGTATCCAGTTGAAGTTGTCTGCTTCGTGGCTTCATTACGTATTGCTGGCCCTTCTGTTTTTTTCTCCTTGCGGTCGTACTTTGGAGGGCTCGTTTGGGTTTCTAACTTCGTAGTTCATCTTCCCAGTCTTCTCATATTTGTTTTTTCTAACCAGTTAGAAATCATCATGCCATGTAAGGTCTTTATCTGCTTTTGTACCCTTTTTGCTATGTCCTTAATTTCTCTTTTGGTGTTCTGTTCTATATGGCTTGTTAGGTCCTTGTCTATTTTAGTGATTGCTTCCAGGGCTTCTTTGAGGACAAATACCTCTGGTTTTTCTACTTTTTTATGTAACTCCTTTGTTTGTGGCAGGATTTTCGTTGCGTTTTCTTTTTTTTTCTCCATCTTGGCCGAGAGTGTTTCATCTTCGAAGTTTACTTGCTTGTCTGCCTTTTGCAGTATCTGTCTTAGTTTCCAAGGATGCCTTCCTGTTTTCGTCCCATATGAGGTCGATTGTAGCAGACATTCTACGTTCTGCCCTTGGGTCCTTTCCTTTCGCTGCTGTTGCAGATATGCTGCTTTTTGTTGTATTAGGCACTAGCGCCCCAGCTTGGACTACCAGTAGTCCAAGAGCCGGCAATACTAAAGAGTATGTGATCGTTGCAATGGATAATTTCTACCTAAAACAATAGTTCATAGTAACCTTTTAACCAAATCGATGGGTTGCCTCGATTCTCATGGCCGTAAAGTTGTTTTATAGAAAGATACTTTTATAAATAGAATAAAACCATAAGCGCAACAAATAAGAAGTACCTTGCGGTGTAGGGGGTACTCATCATATGCGGCAAACACTTTTTTAACACAATTTCATGTTTCTTTTTTTGCCTAAAGACCTACAGCCGTATGCAAAATCCTCTTCACAGAATCCTCTTTTAACTTTAAAAGTGACTTTGGAAGCTGTCACTTTCAAAAAATTGTATTCAGCAAGCAAAATAACGCGCGCGCTCGACTTTCAGTGAGGGTTGCCATTATTTCCAGCCATCAAAATCGAGGCAACCCTATATATTATTTGAGAAGACATATTAAAGAATATATCTACCAACTTTCAGCTATTGCAACGATAATATTGTTCCTTCGAAAAAAGAAGGGTATTTTACGTCCAGCCACCAAAGGGTTGCGGCCATGAGAATCAAGGCAACCCATCCATTTAGTTTAAAGGTAACTATGAGCTATTCTTTTATGTGAAAATTATCCATTGCAATGATCACATACCCGTTAATATTGCCGGCTCTCCTACTACAGGGTAGCTGTACAGTCGTCTGATAATGGTTGGGTCTGATCTGCACCTCCACCAGTGTTCCCGACCAGTACTGGGGTATCCCTCCCCTGTACCGTAAACTTGTCCTTGTTCGTTGCGTTTTCCATTATGTTGTTTTGTTTTCTTGTTTGAGAGATAGAAGTGAGATTGGAAACAGAGACCCCTTAGCCCTCGAATAGCTCTAATAGCGTCGGATGCTGGAAAAGATGAGTAGATCAAGAGAGATCTAGATAGGAAAGAAAAAAGCAGAAATTAGACCCAAAGCAGGTTGAAGAAAGATTCAGCTAAGGTACCTCGGGGATTCCAGCACCTGTACCCACTAGATGTGAGCCCATGCGGTTTGTTGAGCTGTCCTTATTGTGTTGTCTGAACACAATACTAGAAATGAGAAAATACTTCTCTGAAAGAATTAGGAGCAATTCAGTTAATAACTTTTTAATAATAATTAAAAACAAAAACGAAACTATTTATCTCCACAACCTTGCCTAACAACTAACCAAAGCTAACTAGACACAAAAAATATACAATAATAAAAACACAAAGGTAAAAACATAAAGGTAAAAATACAATAGTAAAAACACAAAGGTCACTACATCCTTAACAGCGACTGGCTGGTGCAAAAAGACGGTCAGTCGCTGGGCCCCACTACTGGTAAACCATCGTAAACTTCCATCTAAAACATCTCAGAGGTCCATCTTCAGATCATCTTACTTCATAATGGAAATATCCTTACATGGGATATATTCCACGAGTATTTGCTCACACAAAGTCTTAAAGACGTCTTTTTAGCTATGCAATACGTCTGAACGTCTGAAGACCATGAGATAAAGTAAATTCATATCTTGAAGACAACTGAGCCACACTATTTAGTACAACCGGGCCTAAAAGTAGATAATGGTTTATGTATTTCAAAGAGATTCAAAGACATCTTTTAAGACATCTTGAAGACGTCTTTAGAATGTCTTGGAAAAATGTCATGAAGACTTTTTTAGGAAGACGTTTGAAAGACGTTGGGCTTTGTAACATACGGCGCGTCTTTGAAATATCTTCAAGATGCCGTGAACATGTAAGCAGACGTCTGAAAAACGTCTTGAATGTGGTTTGTGGAGATGTCTACAAAAACTTTCCACAGAATTCGTTTCTAATTCAATTTAGAAGTTACTGGAATTTAAAATGATACAGAACACTCTAGATTAAAGTTCTAGAGTGTTCGATAGGGTTCCACATTCTGGAGGATGAATGAATGTCTCTAGGCGTCTGAAAGACATTGGGTTTTGTGATATACGAAGACGTCCCTGTGCTGTCTGGGTATCAGATCATCATCCAATCCAAAATTATCCATTATCATTTCTCTAGTTCACAGAGCAATATTTGTCAACCCCTAACTCTGATTAGGACATCTTAACTCATATCTGCTCTCTGAATTCCTACTACAAATAAATCATTGACTCACAACAATCACAGTGCCAAAGCAGCCCTACAAGAACTGACCTTTCCATTGCAGTAAAGGTGCAATGCCGGTTCTGGCGCAATTTCGTCCATTTTCTCATATAACTCCCCATTGTGGTTTTTTCGTAGTACCTTGATCCAAAATATCACCGATCATATATCAAAAGTTTTTGAAAAACATTACTTCAAAATCAGATACTCCACCGGTCCAAAAATCTCTCAACACCTTCGAAATCTGACAACATCATTAGTTTCCGAACTTTATCACGGGGTGAAATGTAAAGGACGGGTCTAAATTGTAGGAAAAGAGAGAAATTTAGCAGTCAGGCTTGATATGTGAATGTTACCACTGGAATGAACTTCAATGAATGTAAATTTCATTCTCAATACAGGGTGCAATGTGAAAGATGAGTTTGGAACTAAAAATTAAAGAAATAGCTTTAGTGAGCCTTGCTCAATAGAGCTTAAATTAAAAGAAAGAAAAAAGCCGGACAAAAAAAAAATTGTTATCAAACTTTACTCAAATACAATCAAATTATCTTATATATTCAAAATTCATTTGAGCAGGATGAGGATTCAGAGGTAGGCGTAAAACCCTAAGATTAATTTCATTGGCCGTTACAGTACGTTTGTAAAACTTCTGGAATCTCGAACTTAAAATCCATAAACCGTCTTCTTTCCATCTAAGTTCACTAGCAAAATCCAGTAGTGTAGGATCGTATGCCAAAGCACTACAAAATTTTATATTTTGTATGTAAAACTAATGTTTCATTATACAAATCTTACTCGTGAAAGTTTGTCCGTGGATTCCATGCAGCTAAAGAAGTTTCGGCTAAAGGCACAAAGAACAGCGTGTCGGTGTTTTGATCCAGAGCCAGACCCAGACCTTGGGAAGACTTTGTGCCTGCAACTGCTATAGGAATGTCTTCAAATTCTCCTGGAGGGCCTTTTGTGAGAGTCTTCGTAGAAATGGTATATATTCTATTAAAAAAAAAAATATATATATATATATATATATATATATATATATATATATATATATATATATATATATATATAAAGTTGGGTTAAAATATTTGAAGAAAATTAGTTACTTGTCTGTAGCCAAAGGTTGATAAAACAACGTAGCTAGGTTAGGTGAATGTGCAAGTCCTACAACGCCATCAGGCAAAGTAAACGTTTCTCCGTTAACGTGGTAAGTTGCAAAACTTGGTTCTGGATACATGGTTGGATGGCTCACTCGCCATGTTTTGTTTCTCAGAGCATCATGAACTACCAAAGCTGGAAAATATTTGGAAAATAAACATATAATTATTGGAAATTAATAAACTCATACCTGGTGAAACTGTATCAGCCATATAAATGAAAGCCGAATCGCAACTTCCCTGAACACTTTCATCGATGACCAGATTAGCCAAGACCGTTGCAGGTCTAACAGCTTCTCTTGGAAGTTCTATTATTCTTTCGGGTTGATCAGTTTTCAAATTGAAAACTACCAGCTTGGGATTGCAAATTCTTCGAAAGTCGTCTAAAGAGTTACCAAGTCCAGAATCTAGAACCTATACGGAAACTTGTGGTGTCAAAAATCAAAATCTGAAATTAAAACTCACCCATAATCTTCCACAAGAATCTAACCGAGTTCTATAAACCGAGACCAATCCGGCACAAGTCGTAGCATTATCCAAACCGATACCAGCTCCGTGATAGCTCCAATCTGGATAAGGTTGCGGTTTGGGGCTGGAGCCAGGAGGTGTATTCCTGGGAACAGTGACTAGAGTGGCTGGAACGCCGTCTCTTAATCTCGGTATGGATATAAATATTCTGTCAGGGGTGATTTCTACGCCCGTGAACACTGTATTTTCTGGCCTGAAGTTTTATTGAGTGGGTAAAGGGTTTTTCAAAATGTGGCTTCTCACCTGAAGTTTGCGGCACCGAATTCGTTTGGAGGATCGAATTCTAGGAAATTCCATTGGTTGACGACTTCTAGTTTTGTGGCATACGTTTTTAAAAATAGGATTTGTGTAATCAAAACTATCGTGTGTTTCTGCATTGCAAAGTTTTATTTCAATTACTGAAACTAGATAAAAATAGGCTTGGGTTTTTAAGTGAACCATTGCACAAATGAGAAAATCCAATATAAATTTGAATGCAGTGTAACCAGTATTATTTATAAATTCTGCCTTTATAAATTTGAGATTAGAGGACATCTTCGCCTTAGGGCCAAATTATGGACTGACGGGTAAACGTCTGGTTGTTACCTAGCATACACTAGAGAATAGAAAGTACCTGCTAGGTAACAACCAAACACTTACCAGTTGGTCCATAATTTGGCCCTTAGTGATAATAATGATGGAATAATAATTATTATGTTGAGAAGATGTCATCCGTCTGTGATCATGATTGTTTGAATCAATTAAATTGTTTTTGATTGAAGTTTTAGGAAGAAAAGCTCTGCAGTATTTTCGAAACAACGGCGATCAAAGTGGGAGTCACGATGTACCTATATAGGTATCATAATTAGGTAACAATCTTTCTCCTATATAAAGCATATTTTACCTACATGTTGTAATGGTTGATTGATTTTTGAACCAAATCAACATCAATCTTTTATATGGCCCCCTTTTTGTAACACGTGGACAATAAATAAGACGTATTTATGGTACCTACCATAGTGAAACTTTCACTACTAGGTAGGTATAGGTACTTCTGTATCAATTGGGGCTATTGAAAATACTTATATATAGGAGATAACAATCAAGTACTTTATACCTATATGAGTTACTATAATATTGATTGTAGGTAAATCAATTCTGTGTAAAAATTGTTTCTTCTAAAACCAACAATCATTGAAGAGTTATAATGGTAAATTAACTTAATAATACAATAATGTGGTTTTGTCGATCCGAGTAGGTTTTCAATGTAGAATTTTCAATTGTTTGGGTAGGATCGGAAAAAAAAACCGCAGAAGTCTGGTTTTTAAAAAAGTCGACGTTTCGCAAAATTTATTTGCATCTTCAGGACACTGTAATGATAAAAAATAAAAGGGTTCTTTACAAACTTAGATGATGAACTACAAAAATACAAAAGACAAACAAAAAACAGAGCTATCCTCCGATTTCGCACTACATTACTTGAATAAATATTTCATAAAAACAGAAAGAAAATAGCAGAATTACATGAAACCTTCAAATAAATTATACGTATATAAAAATATATATAGCTATATTGTAAGTGGGGAGAGTAGCATCATAAAACATAGAAAAAATACTTATAGTTAACAAAGGGTAGTGAAATTGACTTGATTACTTACATTTAAATTAGACTTTCCTTGTCATTGTTGTTTAACAGATTCACATAGGTATAGAGGTTTCTCGAAAACATAGTTGATAAAAAATTAAAAAAAAACACACAATTACGTAGCACAACAATAACAATTTAAAATTTAAAAAAGCAAAAACAACAAACTTTACACACCTCAAATGAGAGATAAAAAAAAAACAAAAATTAACCATTCATCAAACGGAAATGTTATTCAAAAATTAATAAGATAATTTATGTTATTAATTTTTGAATAACATTTCCGTTTGATGAATGGTTAATTTTTGTTTTTTTTTATCTCTCATTTGAGGTGTGTAAAGTTTGTTGTTTTTGCTTTTTTAAATTTTAAATTGTTATTGTTGTGCTACGTAATTGTGTGTTTTTTTTTAATTTTTTATCAACTATGTTTTCGAGAAACCTCTATACCTATGTGAATCTGTTAAACAACAATGACAAGGAAAGTCTAATTTAAATGTAAGTAATCAAGTCAATTTCACTACCCTTTGTTAACTATAAGTATTTTTTCTATGTTTTATGATGCTACTCTCCCCACTTACAATATAGCTATATATATTTTTATATACGTATAATTTATTTGAAGGTTTCATGTAATTCTGCTATTTTCTTTCTGTTTTTATGAAATATTTATTCAAGTAATGTAGTGCGAAATCGGAGGATAGCTCTGTTTTTTGTTTGTCTTTTGTATTTTTGTAGTTCATCATCTAAGTTTGTAAAGAACCCTTTTATTTTTTATCATTACAGTGTCCTGAAGATGCAAATAAATTTTGCGAAACGTCGACTTTTTTAAAAACCAGACTTCTGCGGTTTTTTTTTCCGATCCTACCCAAACAATTGAAAATTCTACATTGATAACTTAATAATACCAATCATTGTGGGTTTGTGGTTGTATCTGCTTATTACCACAAGGACATTATTAGGTATTGTCGCAAGGTAAAAGGCGTAACCTTACAGCTTTTATGTTAATTCAGGTAGGTATTCTTATAGAAGAAAAAAAAAACGATCTAATTAACTTTAATGCCCCAGAGGAAATATAAATAATTATATTTTTTTTTCAAACACAAATCCGTGTCAGTTACTTATTTATTAGACAAAAGGGAGTGTATTAAATAACACGCATAAAGAGTTGCAGTGACAAAGCAGAATAAAATTATCTTTTGAAAAAAATCAAACCTAACATACTAGTAGGTAATGCATGAATGATTAATATTATTGCAATCGTTGTATTGTCTTTATACCCTATATTTTATTATTTATACTATAAATGCGTAGACCATTAATATAATAATATGAAATGCATAAAATTATTGAATTGACCGGATCTATTACAATTTTATTTGTATAAACTATACATAGGTATAGAGCTTAAAAACTTTTCTGTTTTGATGATCATCAGGATCTTTTTCCAACTTTGGTGAAAAGAAATTGCAAGTTATTTACTGTTCGATTCGAAAAAAAACTTACAGGTACTGACAAAAAATGAGCAGGTACGAAATTTATTAGGAATGTAGTACCTTAGTACCTACTGTCATTGAAAATAGCTCAGAATTTCAAATGAGCTACATACACCAAAATAATATGGTCATCTTTACTCTCTCTTCCAACAAAAACAGTCAGCAAATTAGGTAGGTACCTAAAATATTATGAAATTATTTTGAAGCTTTTCTGGTACTTTTTCCAAATCAAGATGAGATAGTTCAATTATAAAGTATCAACTACCTACCTCTCTAAATATATCTTATATTAAGATTAATTATTTACCTGTAATGTACACTTAAAAATGTCACAGTTAATATAGAAAAACCGAACAATAATATCAACTCTTGTGAGATCTCGAGTGAGCGCGCTACCCTTGAATGGTACTGCCACAGTATTTACAAAGAACCGATTTCAATCTCCCATACACTTTCGCCTATAGGTTCCTCGATTAAAATGTGTCACAGATTTTTTTTTCTGCCTTCAAATTCATAAATCTTATGTTCCAAAATTACTTCTGGGATATAAAAAAAATATAACAATAAGTATTGTCATATAGCCAGGGAACTAATGACCTCCTAAGCCTAATTCAAAATAATTAGGTTTGGTTTACCTAACACATTTCATTGCATACGAATTTTCTTTACCTAATTAGGAATTGATAAAATGTAATGAAATAGATACCTGTGAAATTTAAAACAAAAACTAAATATCTACCTACCTATATCTTTCTAATATTATCTAAGATTTTCTGAGTAGGTAGGTACTGATTCTTTTTTTCTTGGATCTGGTAGGGGATACTCTGTATATAATTATATGAACATATTATGATGATTCGATGATAAATTTTACTTTTGCGGCACTCACCTATTAGTCAAGTCGGTCTCTCTCTTGATTCTGATGGGTCTTAGTTAAAGCAGTTCAAGAGCCGCTGGTAATAATCAAAAATTGAACCAACTGTCTCTAGAAAAATAATCTATCGGCAATCAAGAGCCGGTAATGAATCAAAATTTAAACTTTCCTCGGCTTTCGAAATACCATCTTGTTAATGTTTCGTTACTGATTGTTGGTTGACTTCAAAGCAACATTTTTGACTGATTACCGGCTCTTGATTATCTCTGCTAATCTAGAAAAATCAAAATTTATACTTTCTTGGGCTCTAAGTCTTTGGAAAATTCTACAGCAACGTCAAGAGCCAAGAATGGATCAAATTTTGATGATTATCGGCACTCGGCACTCGAACTACTGATACCTTTGCTGATTCCAAATTTTGATTGTTACACCGATATTATTGGCTCTCGAATCATTGGAAAACTTGTCTAAGAGCAGTCAAGGTGAAATTTCACTTTAAAGTCCTTATTTTCATTGGGTAAGAGTGAAAGGGATTTTACTGAGGAGATTCTGGGGATAACTCGAGGATAACCAAGTATAACCGGGGATAACCAAAGGATAATTGGGGGTAACCAAATGAGAACCGGAGACAATGTAACAAAATTGAGATGTTATGTAAGAATTGATATTTTGGTAGGGTGAATAATTCTGTCACATCTTAAAATTTCGTGGTAAATTATGCTGAGAAGTAAATTTGATCTGAAGCAGTAAATAATAGTTTTCTAAACCGGAGACAATCTGTACGAAATCTTCTTTCTTTTCTTCCTGGAGTGGTTATTGAAAGGTGTAATGGTGTTATTTAGAATCTCAAAATTAGTACCACTTACCACTTTTCTGCTGAAGCTGATAACACCTTCTTTAACCGGCATGTAAGATCTTTCTTTGCCACCACCAGTGTTTTAATGAGAATTTTAAAGCCAGAAAAGGAAAGACTAATTTTGAAAGATTGAAATTAATTTATTTACTGAGAAACGGATCGATCGAGACCTCGTTGAGACTTTGCGACTTAAATTTCCGGGGATAACTAGTAGTAAAAACTAGTGGCGAATTGGCGATAACTAAAGTTAACTGGCCTCTGCATCTGCTTAGATAAGCAAAAGGTACCACCATCTGGGTACCACTTTAGAAGCCCATTGGCTATCCCTTAGTACCGGGCTTGCGAGAATCGACAAAGTCAAAGATCTCCAACCCTCTTAGCTTTCAGCGATTCGCTGAAAGTACTCTTCTGGTTTCTTGTTGATTTCCTATTGGTTCTCAAGTTTATTCAACCTTCCCCATTCAAACTGCTCAACCCTGTAATCCAGTTTGATAGCTCTCCATCAGAGTTCACTAGTTACCTACATGTGGTCAAATTCTTAATTGAACATTAAATGTTTTCCCTTTTAATTGAAAACCTTTCCCTTTTCTAATTACCCAATATGCTTTATATTCCTATTTCTTAATTTCTAACCTAGTCGAGTAAATAAAATAAAAGTTCCCTAATTTCTAACCTAATTATCAAGGATGTGAAATAAACTAAACTATCCTCTATTAATTTTATAATAAAATAATTGAGTAATCACTCCTATCTTAACCTACCTATATCTCAAATAAAACTAAGCATTTGATTATGTTACAGTTAACATTTCACCCAAGTAATAACCCTAGATATTTATATTGTTATACAATTTGTTATTGTATCTTAAAAATCCAGCTCATGTAATTATTAATTCGCTACGCACACACATGCTTCGAATATACATAATTCTTTCCGGCGGTATCAGTTACCTGATATCTGATCTGGATTCGTCATAAAACGTTAGTCAGAAGATTATCATTGACTTTGAATAAATTATTATAATCACATAGGATCTGGTTCAGTCGACAGATTAGTTTAAAGTTTAGTGTTTTTCTAGGAAAACATAAATTTTGCCTATATATTTATCAATTTCGGGTTACAGCAATAATAATCTTGAAGCTATAAAATTCGATACTATTTTGGCTTCCAAGTGATTTTTACCTTCGAACAGATTAGGTCGTTCGCAGAACTCCATGTGTTTGTGAATTTCATAAGGGTCACATTTTAACTATCTATAAACATAAATCTATTCCCACGAAAGATGAGCTTGAATCGAGAATATAAATTTGCTATTGATTTTGTTACAATAACCAGGGGATAACTGGAAAAATGCAAACATATTAAAATTAGAAGATTACATTTTATGGCAACGATGGACAGGTATTTGGTCGCTATTAGGCAAATATATTAACAGTAATCCAATATAGTCCGTATTTCCAGCAGGTAGTTAAGGGATAAAGAACCGGGGATAATTTAATTAAGGACAACTGGAGATAACAGCGGAAATCCGGGGAAGAACCAGAGGGATAGCCGGGGATGACCAGGGATAGCCGGAGACAACCAGGGCCCAACCAGCAATTTTAGTCGCCGCTACGTATCCTCGACTACAAAGATAACTTTAAAGTTGGTGTTACTAGTATCGGGAACCGTTTAGGCACCGTTTCTTCCCACGTTATTAACAAAATGGGGAATGATTTCGCAGTAACGTTTACGTGCCTGCATCGTCCTCGGAACTGTAAGATTACATCACGATACCGTTTCGGGAACGTTGCGAAACCGTAAATGTGTGGTAATACCAACCAAAAGGGGACTTTTTCCATGCGCCTTCAACCTTGAAGATATTTATTTGATCTTTCTCTCTCTTTCAATTAAAATTATGTATATTGTGTTCCCGTTCATCCAGCCAGTACTTTAACTTCACAATATATCGACCTGTGTTTTGTTTACTTGATCATTATAACGTACCTACCTATATGAATATTGGAAAGCTCTGATTTTCGTACCCCCGCAGCTAAAACCCAAACGCGTGAAATTTTTCTGTGAAATTTAAGTAAGTATGCTAGATCTAAAAATAACAACGCGCCCTCAAACTAAAGCATTTCGATTATAAAAATATGTAAAATAGAAGAAATTCTAAGATACAAAATACTTTATTCGAAGGAGTTAGCACTTTTAATAGGTCCACTATAATTAGATATCATAAAAGTCAAGGTTTTTATTAGTAAACAGATAATATAAGGCCTGAATTTTCTACTTTTATACAAAACGAAGTTTTTTTCATAAAATGGGGTCTTAAATTTTCTATAAAACATGGCGTATATGAATCAACGCTACGTTAAAGTAACCTATAAATTCATTAAAGTAGAATTTACGTATGCATAAGTGGCGCTCACGAATCAGTTACCTTGCAATGTTACTTGGAAGTGGCTAACTCTAACGTAAAGTCCGTCGATTTTAATCTGATACTCGGAAAGTATGTGAGCTGGTGGCACCCTACATTAGAACGCCAATGGTCACCTGACCTGTTTTTGCCATATACTTCACCCCCTCACTCCTCATACCGCAAGTGTCAGTTAAAAATCGACGAACAATATTTTCCATTGTCCCTCTGCGGTACGCGTCGTTCGGTGATGCAGCCGAGTGCGGAAAAATATTTTCCGCAAGTGTTAGGTACAATATTTTTCCTACAGGCGTAAAAATGTAAAATTTTTCTTTTTTTTTGACATATCAGTGCGGTAAAAATTTTTCCGCACTGACAGCCGTGCGGAAAAACTTTTTCCGCACTGATATGTCAAAAAAAAAAGTTTTACCGCACCGTGCGGGAAAACTCATTTTGCATTATGCCATATAATACCTATACCTACTATTATTGAATTATTATACTTACCTATAGGTACATTATTTTTAAAAAATAGCTAGTTATATAGGATATGTAGTAGCTAAATTTAATATAACATAGGTACCAGCTGTCCATTCCTCACAAAACAAATGCAATAATTGTTTATATTTGCCTTTTATTATTGATAGGATTCTGCTAGTAGATTCTCGTAGTCCAATCAGTGTTTGTCGAATGTCGTGTTAATCGTTTCGTCCGTCCTTTTTGTATTTTTGTTTAAATTGTTTATTTGTTTGGTTGTAAGTTTTTACGTAAATGGTTATTGAAAATATTTTTAAATTTTGATTGTCAAAACTTTAGATAATACATTGCATTCACTGTTTTCCCCATCAGTAGGTACTTTATATTTACTGTAAGGTCTTTTTAGAGTATGGAATTTGCTGTAGGCAATGTACACCAAGAAACATTACTTTCCCTAGAAGACTCAATAATTTCTGAACTGAAATGTTTGGCTTGTAAGGAGAAAATGAACCAGCCTATAGTGCATTGCGAACGGGGTCATTCGTATTGTGAAAAATGTTTCAATAGAGGTAAGAACCTACCTATACCTATGTTATATATCCTACTCACAATCTGTAGTCCAAATAGGTACAGGTAAATGTATTACCTTTCAATATCAAATAGCAAAAAATAGATAGCATTGAAATTTTACCTGTACCTTTGGACTGCAGATTGTAAAAAGATAATTTCAGGCCTGATGTATCCACTTCTGCTATTTTAACAGCTGTTATAGCTCAACATCCATACTTCTCTCTATTTTGACATATAGAATAAACAGTGACAGGCAACTTAACGTTGCTGTTAAAATAACAGAAAATTATACATCATATAGGCCTGATTAAGTACCTATAATTCTCAAAGGTTTTTCACTGGTTGTTTTCTACAAATCAGCTGTGAATAACAATGCAAACAGTCCAAAATTCATTGCAATATTAGATTCATCTCGAATATAATCCTAAGAATTAACATTTTCAAGACAACTCTGACTATCATGCGTTCGGTGAGAGATTGCATATACAAAAACCCACATGTGAAAAACCTAGTAGGCTTTGGCTTATTGTGTCAAAAACCCACACATACAGAACTCATTCCTTGCATAGTGCCGAATATTAATCCAAAATCTAAGATTATTCATATTTTTCTCATCTATATTAAACGCCAGTTTTCTAGAGAATTCAATTGGCTTCAATTAGAGTGTAATTTCGTGGAAATCGGATAAAAATTGGAGAAGCTGTGAGGCAAAAAATGTTCAATCATCGATAAATTCAATTTTAAAGCTTCTCCGGTGCAAAACTGTTGAAACCAAATTAAAATCTTAACAATAGGTTGGTAGAAAATTTAGTTCACTTCAATCAGAGCTTGATTACACTGAAATCGGATGAAAATTAACAGAGCTATGAGGCAAAAACTATCTCATTTTTGGAGAATTTTCAATGTTTGATAAATTCAATTTTGAAGTTTCTCAGGCGCAAAACTGTTGAAGCCAGATTGAAATATCAGTTAATATGTTTGTAGAGGGTTTAATTGACTTTAATTAGAGCTCAATAACATTGGAATCGGATGAAAATTACCGGAGTTGTGAAGCGAAAGCTGTCTCAGTGTCATTTTTGGAATATTTTCAATGATCGAAACATTCAATTTTGAAGCCTCTCAGATGCAAAACTGTTGTAACCAAATCAAAATCTTAAATGATAGGTTTGTAGAGAATTTATTTGGCTTAAATTGAAGTCTAATTGCGTTGAAATCGGATCACTAGTGAAGGGAAATATTCGAAACTTTTTACATGTGAAGAGGAAGGTTAGAGGCTCATTTTCCCAAAATTTCAAATTTTTCAAGTGGAAAATAACAACATGAGGAATCCTGGAAATCAGCATACAATACCTATCTGAATTAATTGAAAATAGTCTCACACATTCCAAAGTTTCCCTGGAAACCTAGTGAAGGGAAAATTTTAAAACTTTTTGCATGTAAAGAGGAAGGTGAAAAGCTCATTTTTCCAAAATTTCACAAATTATTTCAGTGGAAAACAGCTACATGCAGACTCTTGGAAATCAACCTACACAAACTGAATTAGTTGAAAATACAATCTCACACATATCAAAGTTTTCCTGGAAAACTGGTGCAGGAAAATTTTCGAAACTTTTTCCATGTAAAGAGGAAAGGTAAAAAGCTCATTTTCCCAAAATTTCAAATTATTCCAGTGGAAAACAGCAACATGAAGAATCTTGGAAATCAACCTACAAAAACTGAATTAGTTGAAAATACAGTCTCACACATTTCAAAATTTTCCTGAAAAATTAGTGAAGGGAAAATTTCGAAACTTTTTGCATTTAAAGAGGAAGCTGAGAAGCTCATTTTCAAAAAATTTCAAATTTTTCCAGTGGAAAGCAGCAACATAAAGAAATTTGGCAATCAACCTACAAAAACTGAATTAGTTGAAAATACAGTCTCACATTTTTTAAAGTTTTCCTGGAAAACTAGTGAAGGGAAAATTTTGAAACTTTTTGCATAAGAGGAAGGTGAGAAGCTCATTTTCTCAAAATTTCAAATTTTTCCAGTGGAAAACAGCAACGTGAAGAATCTTGCAGATCAACCTACAAAAATTGAATTAGTTGAAAAAACAGTCTCACACATTTCAAAGTTTTCCTGAAAAATTGGTGAGGGGGAAATTTTGAAACTTTCTGCATGTAAAGGGGAAGGTGAAAAGCTCATTTTCCCAAAATTTCAAATTTTTCCAGTGGAAAACAGCAACATGAAGAATCTTGGAAATCAACCTACAAAAACTGCATAAGTTGAAAATACAGTCTCATACATTTCAAAGTTTTCCTGGAAAACTAGTGAAGGGAAAATGTTGACTTTTTTTGCATGTAAAGAGGAAGGTGAGAAGCTCGTTTTTCCAAAACTTCAAGTTATTCCAGTGGAAAACAGCAACATGCAGACTCTTGGAAATCAACCTACACAAACTGAATTAGTTGAAAATACAATCTCACACATATCAAAGTTTTCCTGTAAAACTAGGGAATGGAAAATTGTGAAACTTTTTACATGTAAAGAGGAAGGTGATCGAGAAGCTTATTTTACCAAAATTTCAAATTTTTCCAGTGGAAAACAGCAACATGAAGAATCTTGGAAATCAACCTACAAAAACTGAATTAGTCGAAAATACAGTCTCACACATTTCAAAGTTTTCCTGAAAAACTAGTGAAGGAAAAATTTAAAACTTTTTGCATGCATCAGAGGAAGGTTAGAAGCTTATTTTCCCAAAATTTCAAATTTTTCCAGTGTAAAATAATAACATGAAGAATCTTGGATATTAACTTACAATAACTGAATTAATTAAAAATTCTGTCTCACACAATTCAAAGTTTTCCTGGAAAACTAGTGAGGAGAAAATTTTGAAACTTTTTGCATGTGAAGAGGAAGGTCAGAGACTGATTTTCCCAAAATTTCAAATATTTCTAGTGGAAAATAACAACATGAAGAATCTTGGAAATCAACCTCCAATAAATGAATTAATTGAAAATACAGTCTCGCACATTTCAAAGTTTTCCTGGAAAACTATAGTGGAAGCAAAAATTTGAAACTTTTTGCATGTGAAGAGTAGAAAGGTTAAAGGCTCATTTTTTTCCCAAAATTTCAAATTTTTCCAGTGGAAATTAAAGGAGCTGTGAGGGAAAAATTGTCTCAGTGTCATTTTTGGAAAATTTTCAATGTTTGATAAATTCAATTCTGAAGCTTTCTCAGGTACAAAACTGTTGAAAATAAATTGAAATCTTAAACACCAGGTTTGTAGAGAATTTAATTGTCTTTAATTAGAGCCTAATTGCGTTCAAATTGGATGGAAAATTGAAGCAGCTGTGAGGCAAAAACTATCTCAGTGTCATTTTTGGAAAATTTTTAATGATCGATAAATTCAATTTTGAAGCTTCTCAGGTGCAACATTGTTGAAACCAAATTAAAATCCTAATGAATAGATTTGTAGAGAGTTTAATTGTCCTTAATTAGAGCTCCATAAGATTGAAATCGGAAAAAAACCCTACAAAAACTATCACAATTACCGGCAAAAACCCAATAGAAATTTTCACAAAAACCTGGGTTTTTGTCAACATTGTCAGTGGATTACCAATAATTCCATAATTCACTGAAAGATGATTATGCATAATAAAACCACTAAGAATACATATATTTTTTTTAAGGTAATATTTGCAAATCCTGTGGAAGTATCAGCAAAGGCAACCGCAGTCATCATCTTGAACGGATTATAGATTTACTAACTTATCCATGCAAATATTTCGAAAAAGGTAAAAGAACACATAATTTTGTTTGCTTCTGTAATACAAAATGTGTAATTTATAGGTTGTCGAAGAAGGTTCAAGCTTGAGAAGCTAAGTCAACACGAAAATGAATGCCAAACAGTCAAATTTGAATGTCCCCTTAGAGTTGGTAACAGATGTGCTTTTATTGGTACAAAAAGACAAATTGTTTTTCATTGTCAATTGGTGCATAGCTATTTTACTTTTGTTGGAGAAAAACGTTTCAAGGTAAAACAATGCCTATAAATTCACAAAAACTGTAATACAACATTACTTATTTTCAGCAACAAATCCTTCACAACAGTTTCATAGAAAAAGCTCCTTCAATTTTACGCACTTTTCAAAGCTCCTACCTTTACAATCATAAAGATATCCTATTTCAAGGAACTATTGAACAAGTACCAGGCAATATAAAGGTAAAAATGTGCAGAATTTCACTCCCGAGCGAAATCGAGGAGGCGTTTGATTTTATTTTAACTTTATTCAATTTTAATAACGAAAGCGTAATTAGTTATCGCAAACCGTGCAGTGTAATTGATGGACATTATACAAATTCGATTAAAAACGGTTCCGTGCAGATTAGTTTGGAAATTTTAAAATGTTGTCGTTATTTTACCATCGATTTCGTTGCTGCAGCTGACTATTTTATAAATTGTTGAACTAATTAAAGTCTTTCAGTCGAACAGGAAATTTTAATAGGTCGTGACTAAAAAACAATTAATCGTTTTTGTGATAATTTGTATTTTTAATATGTTTGTAATATTTTGTCTCTTTTAAATTATTCTAATTGGTGTTTTCATACCAATACTCCAGCAATCTTAGGACAAAACATGATTTGGCTAACCATCATTGTTTGGGTAAGAGAACAACCTGTTGACCTGTGTAAATGTGTAGCAATTCTTGCATCAATAAAATATTTTGTACTTGTATGATTTGTTTATTTTTTTGTTAATTATTATTAATACCTTGCATGCAGTTACATGTGTCCTATAAATTTTGCGGCAACTTGGGTACATTATTTTTTCATGTCTCGACTAAAAAAAAAAAAAACACGAGAAAAAACATGACAATGAGAAAAAGCATTATTTATTAATTAGTATTTTGTAATAATGCTGCAAAAACATTATTTTTTATCAAAGCAATGAGGAAAAAATCTCTTCAAAAACATAATCTGGGCTTCTTTTTCCAATATGGCCAAATTCCTAACGATTGGGGCCATCTGCGCGGTATGGCTTTCATAGCCACTACCAAGTTGCTTCTTTTTTTGACCGTAGATAACTTTACCGTCAAATTCGTCTTGGGGAACCTTCATGTCGGGGTCCACTTGTTGGATGGTTACATTTAAGTGCTCTTCAATATCAGCCAAGTACTGTAAAAAAAAATATGAGTAAGCTGAGAAATGACAGTCAAAAATTTTGTTAAGAATATGAAGTTTCAACTCAAAATTTTCTTAATTAATTGTACATTGGAACTATGTACTACCGAGTTTTTGGAGAAAAATTGTTTAGGGATGTATGAATAGGGTGAAAGAAATTTAAGGAAAATTACCATAGTTATTGGCTGGTTAGGTGAATAATACAAGTAATGTCAGCTTTATTTGCTGACCATACACATAGTCTGCCTAATTCGCTTTTCTTTATTATAAATATCGCTGCTCGCCTCGTTATCGGCTTACGTATTGATAACTGGCACAGTCGTCCGGATTTTTGTTTTTGGGACTGATTTACGAACTTTTCGGAAATCGGACTAACCGGGATCTCGAATCTACACCCTTGTGTCAGAATCGTATTAAGTGTTTGCGAGAAGTGTCGAAGTGGCTTTACGAAATCGAAAACCAAAGAACCACCTTCCAGCAATCGGATTATTGGACCAAAATAGCCAATACTAGCGAGGACCAGGAGTGATTTGGAAGGATAAACATAGCCTACCAGAAATTCTTGTCCTCTACGGAATAGTTTTCATGTAAGTGCAATATGCAATTTGTAATTTCTTTAATGTCTGATATTGATGAAATAATAGAAATATTATTATCTCTATCTCTGCCTTTAACTGACTCACCTTCTGATACAGAAGAGTTTATAAGAAATATTAATCAAACATTAAATACCAGTGCTGCATACTGATACAAACAGTAATAATCGAAATAATTTAAGTTCAAATAATATTAATAAAAGTAACGATATGGCTCAATTTGAACCTGAGTACTTGAATTGCGTACCACAGGTATTTAGCAGTATGCCAAAGTTTAATTGATAATTCCTATGATGCAAATCCACCAAACCATTTTCAAAATATTTACTTGATAAATTACATCATCGGAAAACTAACTGGAAACGCAAAATTGATCATAGGTACAGAAAATGTCACAACTTGGGATAATTTGAAACAAACATTGAACAGGCATTTCGCAAATCAAAGGGACGAGGCATGTTCAAACAGAGATCTCGTAATGTTGAGACAACAAAACACAGAAAACCCTAGTCAGTATTATGACAGGGTTATGCATATTTTAAACCTGCTTTGTTCTTATGTAAATAGTCACGAAGTTGACCAACATGTGAAAAATTTAAAGCGAAACTTATACAATGATCTTGCCCTTGAAACTTTCTTATCAGGCTTGAGAGAACCATTGGGAACAATAATTAGGGTATGCGTCCCAAAGACTTTCCAGAAGCTTTACAGTTCGTCACCGTCACACAGGAATATAATACACAATATTTTCAGAATATAGCTAAAACTCAACAAAAACATCCCCACAGCATTTCAAACAAAATACACAATAAAGATACAATCATTCCAACACCTTTGATGCTGATACATCAAATAACACGTTCACTCAACAAAAATTTCCATCTCAACCTATTCATGTGAGACTAACTCACAAGTCTTCAGAAATAAAAATCAGACCAATGTATTTGAACCAGGACAAAACAAAAAATTTCCCAGACCTACCCAAATGTCTACAACGACAAGACAAACCTGTTCTGCTACCAATGCACCACAAACTTCTGGTAACAATTATTTCCAAGTTACGCAACCATGTAACTTTATTTCAGAAGAACTATATAAAACAATTACGACTAATGTCACTGACCTTCCTACACCTAAAATGATCAAGAATCCTATTACTACAAAACCAAAGTTGACCCTCAATGAAGTTATAGTTATTCCGATAATTATACCGATTCAAATAATGAATTCCAAACCACTGAACTCGTAGAATACAACACAGCTGGTACTTCGGAACAATCAAATTTTCAGGAAATTCAGTCAACAAAGCCTGCACCCTAGAATCACCTGCAATAATTTCATTCAATAACGTCAACGCAAGTGAACTGTCCTTTATTGTCTTTCCCTGTGGTCTTTCCTGAATGCAATCTCAAATTTCTAATAGATAGTGGCTCCACCAAGTCGTTCATATAAAAAAGAGGCAGATTGGTGTCGGATCATATAACCGAATCTGCCGATAAAATGGGATTTAGGTTGGCACTCGTGGGTAATGTTGCCAATAGTTGCCTTCTGCAAATCTTTGGTTATTGATTTTAACAATTTGAGGTTTGTTGTCAGTTTCTAACGAGTCGGGGATTGATAGTTGGGATATAATTTATTTGGAATTTCGTCGTGGTATTATAATTATTCTTATCAATTTATTGATAAAAATGTAACCTGGGACAATGACAAACTTTATGGTATGTACATACAGTACCTAAATTCCCGCTTCAAAAATTTTTAATCTACCTAATAAGAAATTCTTGAAATTTTATTTATTTAAATTTCCTAACATCTTTGTTGGCCTTATAGTAAAACATTATTTTTTACTTGATAATCCTAAAATGTTACAAGCTAACATAAACTATGAAACAGGATTCTTAGTAACTCCATTTGCCAAAACCAAGTTACAATTTCAAAGAACGAACATGAACCAAGTATATAATATCACTCTCTCACCACGTACCGAACAGCTAGTGAAAACCAAAACCAGCATGCATGATGGCGAAGTTATAATTCCATATCAAAAAATGCATAATTGCGAGATTCCGAACTCCCTAAGGATTGCTAAAAATGGATACGCTTTAACGAAAATCTTAAACAATACGTGTCAGCTAATAATATCAGATCTTTCACGACCAGTTGAAGTGGAACCATTTAATAGAGAAGAAATAGAACAAATTTATTTAAATAATTTTGAGGCATCAAATTATGATACTGATAATTTTGACTATACTCAAATTTGCACAGATCACCTTGACTCAGAAGAGAGAGCCAAAATAATTAAATTATGTAGAAAATATTCGGACATATTTTACCAAGAAAATATGCCACTGATATTCACAAGCGAAATAAAACACTCTATAAAAATGACAGATGAACAGCCTGTATATACAAAAATATATAGGTACCCATTCATTCATAAGCAAGAGGTCGAATCGCAAATAATAACAATATTGGACTAGAATATTATACGCCCAAGCAATTCTCCTTGGTCCGCACCTATTTGGGTAGAGGCCCAAAAAAAGCAGACGCTTCTGGGAAGCAGAAATGGAGAGTAGTTATTGGCTTCAGATGCGTCAATGCGAAGAACATGTCAGATAGATATCCTGTTCCTAATATCACGGACCTCCTAGATAAATTAGGGAAGTGATGTCAATATTTCACAACCCTAGATCTGGCTAGTGGGTTCCATCAAATACAAATGAATGAAAAAGACATTGAAAAAAACGGCATTTAGTACAGAAAATGGCCATTTCGAAATTTTGAGAATGCCCTTCGGGTTATCCAATGCCCCAGTAACATTCCCATCCAAAGGGTCATGGATGGCATCCTACTAGGAATCCAAAACGAAAAAGGCCTAGCTTATCTTAATGACAATATAGTCTTCTCGCCAGGAACACCTAGAGCGATTAGAAACCGTATTTCAAAGATTAAGAGAAACAAATTTTTAAATCCAATTAGATAAGAGCGAGTTTCTAAGGCACGAAGTAACCTACTTAGGACACATTATAATGCCTGAAGGAGTGCGTCCAGATAAAGTCAACGCAATCAAAAACTATCCCATACCAAAAACAACGAAGCAAATAAAGGGATATCTTGGACTACTAGGTTATTATCAACGCTTTTTGTGAAATTAACGAAACCACTAACTGAATAAAAAACTATTGACAAATGAACCGATATTACAGTACTCGGACTTTTCTAAAACTTTTAATTTGACCAGTGACGTTAGCAACGTCTAGGCGGCAAGCAGGGCCGTAACTAGCCATAGGCTGACGAGGCCCTTCCGCGCCGAAGCCGAAGGGCGCCGAGCGACAAACTTAAAGTGTATCGAAAATTAGAGAATTAGAGAAATTATTCTTAGAGCAATCAGTTTTTTTACTAATTAGGCTTTTGAAGGATCGGTAGTGGACCCAAAATTGATAGGATGTCCGAAAGGAACGTCCAAGAATCTATGGAGTAGGTATGTATATGATTACAAAACTGCCACTCAAATCAACTTATTACTTAAGTGTACCTACCGGTGAATCCGTCACTGAATGTATTACTTATGTTAAATGTATGTTTCTATCCAGAAATGTACCTAAAAGAATAAGCCAAAAACCCAAACATAATCACAAAAATGGAACATAAACGAATGTTGTTTTCGTTGATATCCTTGTCAACTGATGAGAATAATGTACCAAATAAATACTACCGTAGATAAATTCTTAAAAAAGGTATTTGAAAAAAAATTTAGAAAACTAGCTGCTTAGGTACCTACTTATTGCCACATGAGCGTGATTTTGAATGTTGGTTCACTATAGAAATTTATATGGAAGTCAATGAATAGGTAATGGACCAAATGTTTTAAATCCTAGTTTCATTAAAGAAACCTTCCACCAAAGAATATTCTATACGAATTAGAAAGAATATCCTAATAATATTCTTCTGGAAGAACAATATCTAGGTACCTACCTACTGGTAACCAAAAAGAAAAAAATATCCATAGAAGCTTTAAAGAATCTCAGTTATTTTTTCATGATCCTGGTAATATCCCTAACAAAATTTATTCTAATGCGTTTTTTCTAAGAATGTTGAATGCATCACATCCAGATATAACAATAAATACATTCTACAAATACTTTGCATGGGGTATTAGAATTGGTTGTGTTATGACATGTATAATCTCTTCTTCTCTGAAGGGGTTTTATCTCTATTATCTTTCGTATATGTCAAAATGGGTGAATGTCAGGTGCCAACTGTCATAATGATAGCACTTGCATTTTTTTAAATGGAACACCCTGTATATTTTTAGCTAGGATGATAGATTTTATTCTTCTGGTTTCAAATATACCATATGTGTTGATATTTGGTTCAGCTGTTTTTGCGCTATTTCATTTTAGTTTTCTGTTGGACATGAACAGTATTTCCAGTACAATCTTAATTTGAAATTTTTTAATTAAAGATTTCCAGACTTCCGGTGAAAAATGTTCTTTAAAAGCACTTTTTGGATGTTTAACAAATTTTAATAAAAAAAGAAACATTTTAGGTAACCGAGCTACACTGCACTTTTACCAAAACTTCAAATGGCCTTCAATTTAATTTAAAAGATGCCTGAAAAAATTATTTGATGACGTCAACAAAACAGAAATAGCAGAAGTAATTCAAAATTACCATGAGCGCAAAACAAACCACCGAGAAATCGAAGAAACCGAACGACAAATTAGGGAAAAATATTATTGGCCCAAAGAATCCATTCAATCATTCATCAATGAATGTGAAATTTGCCAACGTAGCAAATACGAACGCCAACCAATAAATATGGAAATGAACATCACGCCTTCTGCAACAAAACCATTTGACATCGTCCACACTCTCGATAAGGTTAAATTTCTCACCATAATAGACAGTTTTTCTAAATATGCCCAAGCTTATGCCCTTAGGTACATCTTTATCCGCTACCGAAATATGTGATAATCTCATATCCTTCTTTTCACATCATGGCATTCCATCGAAGATAATCACAGAAAATGGAACTAAGTTCAAAAATACTGTTCTTACTTAACTACTTCAACTTCACAAAGTAAAAATACATTTTTGTTCTCTTCAACACCCGCAATCGAACGGCGTAATTGAAAGACTTCACTCAACCTTTTCTGAGCACATAAGAATTTTTAACAATCAAGGAACGCCAATTACCCAAAAAATTAAATATACCAAACACAAGCCCATTCACATAATCACAGGACACATTAGTCCCAATGATCCATTCGATCTTAAGTTAGATCAACTTCTAATAACAGATTACGTCAACGAGCACAAAAATAAAACAAAACTTTTGTATTCCAACATAAATAAGCGTCTTATGGATACAAAAAACAAAATAATTGGCAAAATCAATGAAAATCGTGATAAGCCAACATTATTTAGACCAGAACAGAAGATATGTGTAAAGAAACATATGCGCCAAAAATTAGGAGACAAATTTCAACCAGCCACACAAATAGAGACTGTTGACCCTACACGGAAAACCATAGTGACGGACACTCTAGGCAAAGTGCATATGGACAATATTAAACGTCCTCTAAGGAACAAATATAGTTTTGATACTTAAGTTAATTTTAATAAATACGTAATAAGTATAATAAAATTGGTACTAATAGAAATGAATATTATAACCTCACGCTTACGCTTACTAATCTTTATTTCAGCTTTCTAACCCACATATTCGGAAACCAAGAGCAAATCTCTATTAGAAAATTGGACGATAATTTTGGAATTATCCCAGTGAAACATGGAAATGCAAAAATAAGAAACTACACCTACACATTAATACATTACTATGACCTAAATCCTATACTAATCGAAATTAACAAACTACACTCTAAATCCAATAATATCACTAACATGCTTAATGGACACAAAGAGTATCCTGAAGATATTAGCAATTATATCAAATTAATTAAACTAATACAAATTAGAGTAGATAACAAAATCAAAGAAATAATTCCCCAGCCACAAAAAACAAAATGAGGCTGGATTAACGGCCTAGAGTCGATTCTCAAATCCGTAACCAGAAAACTGTTATTGAAAAATTCAATACGACGATAAAACAAATAAATTTTAATGAAAAACTCTTATAATCAAAAATTAATCAAATCGCATACATAGTAGAGAAATATAGGGAAAATTCTCTTTATATTAAAGACATAATTAATCAAATTATTAATGTCTACGAAATAATAGATTCAATATTACAGGATGTCGGGAACTCTTTAATTTTTTCTAAGTTAAAAATTATGTATCCTAGCATAATGAGAACTGAAGATCTCTGTACATAACTAATCAAATTACAAAAACAACTAAGTAATGAACAAATGCCTTTAACAGTTAATGTTGAGAACATCCTTTTGTATGAAAGAATCATCAAATTAGAATCATTTGTTCGTAACAATAATAGTTATTTATGTATCAAGGGTACTAAGTAGATGATTATGCCCCGAGGGCGACAGTCTTACAAAGCCGAGGGCCTCTGGCCCGAGGGTTCGTAAGTTGCCCGAGGGTATATATCTATTAGTACCCGTGGTGCATACAAACTTTTATGTCATGCCTGCGCGGGCCATAATGTGTACTTTATGCCCGCGCGGGCCATAATGTGTACTTTATGCCCGCACGGGCATAAAGTAATGAATTATATAGATGGTATCTAAGGTATAAAAACACAATAATGTACTGGTATGACATAAAATAACTTATTTGGTCCACATACCTATAATGTATCCTGAATCTTTTGATTATTTCCACCTATATTCAATACCAATCAAAAGTCAGAGTCAGTTTAAGGTAGTCCTTCCACCAAATAAATATCTTTTAAAAAACGGATTGCACTACGCACAATATTGCCTAGAATGCTCGGAAATCCTTTCTGAATTTCACCTATGCGAAAAAGAAGAACTCCATGTGAAATAAAGCTACTGAACTCTGAAAAAGACACTTCTACTTGCAAGCCAACCGAAGTCAAAATCACACAACCAATAATCAATCGATTGGACAAATCCAATCAATGGGTATTCGTCCTTTTGACTAAAGTACCTATTGAACTCAAGTGCTTTGGACAAGAAGAAATCAGAAAAGTTATTGGAACCTTTCTAGTTCACATACCAACCAGTTGCCAAATAACTATCTCTTCAAGACTAATTATCAACGAAAAATAGCTTCTGAAATCCGATGCCCAACCTATACTATTTCCCAATGTACCTGTATTAATGCATTCCCTAAATTCAGGTAAACACTTGAAATAGTAGATTATACCACGAGTCAATAATGATAGCTATTATTCCCGAGGATTATTACGAACTGAGCCGCGTTAGCGGCGAGGGAGTAACATTCCGAGGGAATAATAGCCATTATTGCGAGTAGTATACTCTACTTTATTTACGACAAATTAATTTATTTGAGATTTTCAATGAACAAATTTCATCCGTCTCATAATTTTCAATACAAATCCACAAGCACTACACGTTTGACACTGACACTTTTGTGGAATAATGACCATTAATCCCGCTACTCGTCATTAATCCCTGGAGGAATAACATATGTCATTATACTGCCAAAATCACAAATATAATACGCACATTATACATTAGTCGTAAATAAAACATAAAATTGGACAATCTCCACCAACTAGCTAACGAGATCGTAGAAAACCGTTTGACGTTTAGTGAAATCAGAAAACTACCAAGTTTGGGAACCATTCTGATTTATGCTATGATCCTTGCTGGGTGTGCTGTTCTTGGCTATAAGAAACTGGGACCAAAATTCAAGAGCCGAAGAAGGGACAACCACCCTGAAGAAGAAGCCCAACCAATCCAACTTCCCTGCCTAGCATGGAGTTGCATCCTAAGGAGGGAGGAGTAATGTCAGCTCTATTTGCTGACCATACACATATAATCTGCTTAATTCGCTTTTCTTTATTATAAATATCGCTGCTCGCCCAGTCGGTTGAATTATAATTATATTTCTTATTTTTAACCTTTGTAACGCGCAACTTCATTGTAATTTAGTGAATAAATTGTTTTTTTTTAAACTCTATTTCGGCTTACTTATTGATAATCTTACATAGCTGGAAAATACCATTGAAATATCAATTACAATATATTCATATTTAGGTAATAAAGCATCTTTTTTCTGACTAAACATAAGAGTTTTTTATATTTCAACACTGCCGCTCAATAAAACTAATGTCTAAGGCATGAGCATAGAAAAGTGTGTCTTCACTTCTTTGTTAACTCTAATTGAGTGAGCAAAAAACACAAATTCAGTTTAAAATACTTATAATTCAGATACCAATCACATGGAGTTTTCAGTTATTCAAGCTGGTTTTTGGAAGAATATTATGCTGGTTGTTATATAAGGCATAAGGTGAAAGGTATAGCTGGTATATGAAAAAAACTTGACAAAATCTCACCTGTTGCTCATCATACCAAACACAGCATCCTCCAGCATCAGTCAAATTGGAGTTCGAGCAATTTCTGCCCCTGCTCTTGCACCATTCCCCATGATACCAAACCTTGAATGAAATTATTGTAAACACATCAATAATCAACCAAATCAGTCTTACCTTTTCTGGCACACAACTAACAAAACTGATGGCCAATCCCATACGTTCCGCTCTCCCCACTCTACCAATCCTATGGACGTAATTCGACTTTTCATCTGGCAAAGTGACATTTATCATAAATGGTAGACCAGTAATGTCCAGGCCTCTAGCAGCTACGTCCGTACAAATCAAGAAATTCGCCTTGTTTTTCTTGAATAATTCCAAATTGGCTTTTCGTTCTTGTGGTTTTCTGTCTCCATGCAGACATACACACGAATACCGGTTTCTATCACAAAAATTCATAAATTTTTCGAGATTATCGCAGTCCAATTTAGTGCGGCAAAAGATAATCGCTCTGTCCATGTTGTGTTCGTCGATAGCTTTGATAACGTAATCGCCTTTTAAAATTTTGACTGCTTCACTTAGAGATTCTGCTGTGTTTTGACCGAGTCCCACCTTGTCCGATCGATGGACACCGTCCGTTAAGATGTGACGACGTGCGTCAGCCCAAGAACGATCCTTTTGCGGGTCCACTTTGACAACGACGTGGTGCACGGCTTCGGGAACAGCGTCCTCGCCTTTCAAGTCTATCCAAGTAGGGAAATGCATCAATTTTTCTGCCATTTTTTTCACCTAAATTGATGAAATTTGAATAATTCAATAGTAGATTTTATAAAGAAGATGAAAAGGACAGTCCACTATTAATTAATACTTTGCTGCCTTCATAATAAAAATCCAGTAAATAATGGGTAGTTGTTGGAACCTTATCAAGGAACACTTTAATACTGAATTTAAAAAGAAATAATTTGATTTTCTTGGTATCAAAATATTTTTCAACCGGACTGCATTTTGGACACATATATGACTAAATTCACTGTACCTTCTAAAAGTTAAACAGTATGAAATGGAATGTTCTACATCATATTTCCAATAGATATTTATTTCATAAACATCTTACTTCTTGTATTGTAGAAATATATTAAGAAGACTTATGACTATTACTTGTTCAAGTTCCATAAAACAATTTTTGAGAATTTGTAGTTTGTTTAGTTGGGTTGGGTAAAGCCCATATTGATGAGTGAAATTGATAACATATTCCCTTATAAAACTGGCAAATAGTTGTGAAATTTGTAGCTCAACAAATCCATGCATGATTTTAATAAATCATTGGAATAGAAGGAAAATAATTCAAAAATAAATACTGTTAGAAACCTCAAAGATCTGAATAATTGTAAAACATAGTACAAGTTGCAAGGGACAAACCACCTAGGAATTCTTTGCTAAAACTGTGGAGAATTTGGAGGAATTTGTGGAAAATTTGAAGGAATTTATGGGAAGTTGGAGGAATGTCAAGGGGCAAACCACCTAGGAATTATTTATCAAAAATGTGAGGAATTTAGAGGAATTTGTGGGGAATTTAGAGGAATTTGTGGGGAATTTGGAGGAACTCATCGAAATTTATGAGATTCAGGTTTTATAGGGAATTTGGAGAAATTTATGGGGAATTTTGAAAAGAAAAATTTGTGAGGAATTTAAAGAAAATTGTAGGGTCACTGATGTTCACATTCTTATTATAAGAAACACTAATAAATGGAAATTAAAAAAAAAACATCTATTTTTGTGTTGGACGTTGAACATTCATTTTTATTGAAGAAATTCTCCCAAAATTTCACTTCATTATTTACAGGTCCAAATTTAAAAAAGTAAAAGGAATAATGAGTACCTACAGTTTTTGTGGGCTGACTTCCAAGATTCTTCATGCTGTTATTTTCCACTGGAAAAATTTGAAATTTTGAGAAAATGAGCTTCTTACCTTCCTCTTTACATGCAAAAACTTTCAAAATTTTCCCTTGACTAGTTTTCCAAGAAAACTTTGAAATATGTAAGACTGTATTTTCAATTAATTCAGTTATTGTAGGTTGATTTCCTAGATTCCCCACGTTGTTATTTTCTACTGGAAAAATTTGAAATTCTGGGAAAATGAGCTTCACATGCAAAAAGTTTCAAATTTCTTCCTTCACTAGTTTTCCAAGAAAACTTTGAAATGTAAGAGATTATATTTTCAATTGATTCAGTTTTTGTAAGTTGATTTCCAAGATTCTTCATAATGTTATTTTCCGCTGGAAAAATTTAAAATTTTAAGAAAATGACCTTCTAACCTTCCTCTTCATATGCAAAAAGTTTGGAATTTTCTCCTTCACTAGTTTTCCAGGAAAACTTTGAAATGTGTGAGACGGTATTATCAACTAATTCAGTTTTTGACAGGTTGATTTCCAAGATTCTTCATGTTGCTGTTTTGCACTGGAAAAATTTGAAATTTTGGAAAATGAACTTCTCACCTTCTTCTTTACATGAAAAAAGTTTCAAAACTTTCCCTTCACTAGTTTTCCAGGAAAACTTTGAAATGTGTGAGACTGTATTTTCAACTGATTCAGTTTTTGTAAGTTGATTTCCAAGATTCTTCATGTTGCTGTTTTTCACTGAAAAAATTTAAAATTTTGGGAAAATGAGCTTCTCACCTTTCTCTTTACATGCAAACAGTTTCAAAATTTTCCCTTCACTAGTTTTCCAGGAAAACTTTGAAATGTGTGAGACTGTATTTTCAACTAATTCAGTTTTTGTAAGTTGATTTCCAAGATTCTTCATGTTGCTGTTTTTCACTGAAAAAATTTGAAATTTTGGGAAAATGAGCTTCTCACCTTTCTCTTTACATGCAAAAAGTTTCAAAATTTTCCCTTCACTAGTTTTCCAGGAAAACTTTGCAATGTGTGAGACTGTATTTTCAACTAATTCAGTTTTTGAAGGTTGATTTCCAAGATTCTTCATGTTGCTGTTTTCCACTGGAAAAATTTGAAATTCTGGGTAACTGAGCTTCTCACCTTCTTCTTTACCTACATGCAAAAAGTTTCAAAATTTTTCCTTCACTAGTTTTTCAGGAAAACTTTGAAATGTGTGAGACTGTATTTTCGACTAATTCAGTTTTTGTAGGTTGATTTCCAAGATTCTTCATGTTGCTGTTTTCCACTGGAAAAATTTGAAATTTTGGGAAAATTAGCTTCTCACCTTCCTCTTTACATGCAAAAAGTTTCAAAATTTTTTCTTCACTAGTTTCCCAGGAAAACTTTAAAATATGTGAGACAGTATTTTCCTCGGTATTTTCAATTAATTCAGTTATTAGGGGTTGATTTCCAAGATTCTTCATGTTGTTATTTTCCACTGGAAAAATTCGAAATTTTGGGAAAATCAGTCTCTGACCTTCCTCTCCACATACAAAAAGTTTCAAAATTTTCCCTTAATTATTTTTCCAGGGAAACTTTGAATCTCACTTTGAATTGTGTGAGACTATATTAACGATTATTTCAATTTTTTTTAGTTGATTTCCAAGATTTTTCATGTTGTTATTTTCCACTGGAAAAATTTGAAATTTTGGGAAAACGAACTTGTCACCTTCTTCTTTACATGCAAAAAGTTTCAAAACTTTCCTTTCACTAGTTTTCCAGGAAAACTTTGAAATGTGTGAGACTGTATTTTCAACTAATTCAGTTTTTGTAACTTGATTTCCAAGATTCTTCATGTTGCTGTTTTTCACTGAAAAAATTTGAAATTTTGGGAAAATGAGCTTCTCACCTTTCTCTTTACATGCAAAAAGTTTCAAAATTTTCCCTTCACTAGTTTTCCAGGAAAACTTTGAAATGTGTGAGACTATATTTTCAATTAATTTAGTTATCGTAGGTCAATTTCCAATATTCCTCATGTTGTTATTTTCTACTGGAAAAAATTGAAATTTTGGAAAAATGAGCTTCTCACCTTCTTCTTTACATGCAAAAAGTTTCAAAACTTCCCCGTCACTAGTTTTCCAGGAAAACTTTGCAATGTGTGAGACTGTATTTTCAACTAATTCAGTTTTTGAAGGTTGATTTCCAAGATTCTTCATGTTGTTATTTTCCACTGGAAAAATTCGAAATTTTGGGAAAATCAGTCTCTGACCTTCCTCTCCACATACAAAAAGTTTCAAAATTTTACCTTAATTATTTTTTCCAGGGAAACTTTGAATCTGGCTTTGAATTGTGTGAGACTGTATTACAATGTTGCTGTTTTTCACTGAAAAAATTTGAAATTTTGGGAAAATGAGCTTCTCACCTTTCTCTTTACATGCAAAAAGTTTCAAAACTCTCCCTTCACTAGTTTTCCAGGAAAACTTTGAAATGTGTGAGACTATATTTTCAATTAATTCAGTTATTATAGGTCGATTTTCAATATTCCTCATGTTGTTATTTTCTACTGGAAAAATTTGAAATTTTGGGAAAATGAGCTTCTCACCTTCTTCTTTACATGCAAAAAGTTTCAAACTTTTTCAAAATTTTTCCTTCACTAGTGTTCTAGGAAAACTTTGAAATGTGTGAGATTTTATTTTCAACTAATTCAGTTTTTGTAGGTTGATTTCCAAGATTCTTCAGTTGCTGTCTTCCACTGGAAAAAATTTGAAATTTTGGGAAAATTAGCTTCTCACCTTCCTCTTTACATGCAAAAAGTTTCAAAATTTTTTCTTCACTAGTTTTCCAGGAAAACTTTAAAATTTGTGAGACAGTATTTTCCTCGGTATTTTCAATTAATTCAGTTATTATGGGTTGATTTCCAAGATTCTTCATGTTGTTATTTTCCACTGGAAAAATTTGAAATTTTGGGAAAATAAGCTTCTAACTTCTAACTAAGGATTTGTAAAGGATTCCATTGGCTTTATTTCAAGTCTAATTACGTTAAGATGATTGAAATTAACACACATGTGAGGTAAAATATGGTTCAATGTCATTTTGGGAAAAATCAAGCTTCAAAAAACGACATTGAAGGAGGTTTTATTTTATTTTTTTTTGGGGGGGGGGGGAAGCGTTGGAAGGATTGGGTTGAAATTTTCCAAGTCGATGAAGAAAGGATTGAAATTTAAGAAAAAATAAAAAGGTCCTTCTGATCTTTCACCTTTTGGAGCAAACCACCTAGGATACTTTCCAGAACTGTGAAGAGTTGAGAGAAATTTCTAGAGAATTTGGAGGAATATGTGGGAAACTTGAATGAATTTATGGGAAATTGGAAGAATGTATGAGATATTGGGAAAAATTATTGGTTTTTAACACTGAGCGTAATAAAAATAAAAAAATGTATTTCTTATCAGGAACAATTTTTGGGATTTTTATTGAATTTGTCACAGGCATTTGCAGGGAATTGTTTGCAAGAATTTGGGGGGGTGGTTTACCCCTTGACAAGTTGCTTACAAAAACTAAAACAGTATTGAAGTAGAAAGGTAAAAATATAATAATTTAATGAAAATTTAGCTTATCGAGATTATCAATTCTCACCTCAAAAGCATGCAAAGTAGCACTACAAACAATCATTTGAAGTCTCTTGCCATCAACAGTAATTTTAGGCATCTGTTTATGCAATCTCTCAATAAATCCCCCATATCCTTGTTTCAGCAGTCCATCAGCTTCATCCAAAACGAAAAACCTACAGTTTGCAAGAGACAAATAGCCTCCTTGGATGAGGTCCTCTAGACGACCTGGTGTGCCAACTACTATATCTGCGCCTATAAGATATAATTTATATTATTGAAAGCATTTAAAGATAGTTCTTCCCACCTTCATGTTGTAAGATAGAAATTTGATCCTTGAGACTATTCCCACCGATAACAAGCAACTCCTTTATAACAGGATTATGTAAATATTTATTAAATAACTTTATTTGGTTGCTGGTTTGTTCAGCCAGCTCCCTTGATGGTTCTATTATGAGAGCCTGTGGTGCGTTATTCGCCAGTTTTATTGTAGCTGCAACTTCAGTGCCATTGGTGTTGATTGCTATTTTATCTTCAGGGGCTGACATTAGGGGCAAGTAATGGTAGGGCAGGGGATGTTTGAACGGTTGTTGGCCAAAATTGAAAGACATTTCAGCATTCTGGAAATATTATTTTTAAATTGTTACAATTATTGAATCTGGAATCCGTACCTTCAATACTACAGCTGGAAATAAAGCTTCCTTATTGTTGATACGTTTAAAAGCCACTCCCAAGTCGACTCCGTTTTTTAAATATTGAATCATTCCAGTATCCATGTCCAAGAGACAAGTTATTACGTCGCTTTTTCCAAAAGCCTCCCCGTAGTTGTCAAATTGGCGACTGTTGGATTTTTTGCCTGTACCGCCATAACCCCAACCACATCTGGGAAAATTGAGTTAAATAATGACCCAAATAGATAAATAGATGGATATATGTAGAGTAGAATCTCTTCAGAGCTTAGCAAGATCCACAGTGAATAGGCAACCAGCTTTAATGGACAAAATGAGACCAGCTTACCAAGGCATTTACGGGGAGAAGCAGCAAATCAATTAAATGGAGTTTTATGGAAAGAAATGACCAAAGGGTTTTTCACCTTGCTAATTGGTGTACAAATCACTGGTTAATATATGTCAATACCAGGTTAATACTATGTCAATAGTGACAATACTATGCAATACCTATTTGGTAATTATGTAGGTAATATATGTCAATACTTGTAGATATCTAGGCAATATATGTTAATGTTATTGGTTGATGTTGATACCCATTAATAACACGTGAATACCTGTGGATATGTCAATAAGTACCTAGAATGCTGGCAAGACCAATATTTGATTTTAGTCTGTCAATAGTGTAGCAATACCTGGTAATATATGATAATACTAGGAAAATACCTGGCAATATGTGGAAATATTTTGTTAATACATGAAAATAGTTGGCGATAACTTGTTATTAGGTACATAGAAATATCTGTTAAAACATGGAAATATCTCAGTTAGTACTGTTTATCAGTGTACAAATTTTGTAAGGTGAAAAACCCCTCGGTAATTACCTGGTTAGTACTAGTAAGTAATATTGATATGTTGCCAACTACTGTATTGTAACTATATTGTAAGTTATACCATTTAATGGAGTAAACCCATATATAAATAAAAATTAAAAAAAAAAAAGCATTATTATTATAGATTTAAGTGTAAGGTAGATGCTATTAAGAATATCACATACTTATCAGTTCCCAAATCCAAATTTGCACTCAAAGTCGACCAGCCAACCCTGCAAAGTCCTTCATCGGTCACGGTAACCTCAAAACCCCATTTTCCTGATTTCACCCCCCTGGTACATCTAGCTCCATGCCATTCCTTTTGTTCACGAGACTGCACACGTAAACCATCAGCAGCCACTGCTAAAGCAGCCCCTCGGTCTTGGGTTGATACCGTCCATGCAGGAGCCGAACTGCTAGATGAAGAAGTCGCTCTTCCAGTCTCTATGTCCCTCAACGTTTCCCAGACGATTTGAATTATAGGCAAACAGAAGGCTGCCGTTTTTCCTGAGCCTGTTTCGGCGGCCATGAGTACATCGCCGCCTCCTAGGACTAAGGGGATACCTTCTGCTTGGATGTCAGTTGGCAGACTAGAAAAATAGATGAGATTTTTTGATTATCAATAGATGAGATGCTACAAATTGTGTCTCTAGATCCTAGAGGAGTACTCACGTCCAATCTAATTCATCGATTGCCTTTGATATTTCAGGTAAAACGCCGAATTCTGCAAATATACATGGGAGTGGTTTTTAGTAGGGCAAAATTATGTGATTTTTTGAGACTGATACCTTCAAATGCCGCCATCGTGGGTGGACACAAATAATTGGGTAGTTTTGATGTATTTTCTACTTTAAAATTATTATTGAATCAGCAAAAATATTAACATATAAAATGTCAGGCAAGGAGCAAAGCAAGCGCATAAACAATTAACATAACCTCAATAAAATTTTAATCTGTCACTCCATTAATAGCGATTTCAATTTGGTGCACTGAGTTGCACTTAGTGGCTCGCTACAATGTTCTTTTGGAACAGAAAATAATAATTTTTCATCGGATTCATCTTCGTTCACACCGCAATCTAGTAAAACAAGGAATCCGCTGCATTTTACATTGAAATAATTGTCATCAATTTTGAACTTTATCACAAAACAACTGTACTTGGAGGAGCCTCCTAGTTCTTGCCAAAAAATGTGCACCGAGTGTAAGCATAATGGCACCGAATAAGTCTATAGGCGATCACACACGGACGTGGATGGCTTGATACATATACGTGCATACATCAACGTGCAAACAACAACGTGCATGTCACTTTTGTACAGACGCTCGCACAAAACTGTCAGGTAGCATTTCTAGCGATTTCAGAATTTATTTGAGTGTCATTCTACAGTTTGCACATTCAAAAACGCGACGGTATTTTGCATGCACATTGATGTTTTTGTTTGCGCGTTCATGTATGTGCGTACATGTTTTCAGACATTCACGTCCGTGTGTAACCGCCTTATAATTTTGAACTTATTCATGGTCGTTTGCACCCAAGGAGAATACACTACACCCTCGGAGTGCTTATCGTCCTCTTTTTTGGTAATCGCCGCCACATTGGTGTGTCACCATTGCGACGTCAAGTCGTCTGCTGTTTAAACAGCCTACGTCAAGGCGAAAAATAACATGCTGCCTACGTCACAACAGGTATTTTGGCTTGAGGGGAAAGGGGGGGACTTGTTACACACAGGCCTTATGAGGATAGGCCATTCTAGTCAGTGTGTATCAACCTTGTAGTTTCTCTACCTTCTTCTTTTTTCTCGTATTTGTTGCCTTGTTATACATTAGTTGTATTCCTTTCAAGAGTTTGGGCTTTTCAGTATGCATATTGGAACGCTCCGGAGTACCAGGGAAGCGCCCCGTACTAGATTTGTTCCGTATCATGCCGTGAGACAATCCCCCCCTTCCTCAACCTAGGCCAAATCACCAGTTATGACGGTAGGTAGCATGTCATTTCTCGGCTTAAATTAGGCTATTTAAACAGCTGTAGACTTAGTAATGACGTCGGAAATGGTGACACACTAATATATATAATAATTAGGTGCTTTTTAAGTGCTAATTAGGGCCTCTAATTAAAAATTAGGTGCTCCTTTGGTTTTTGAGAAAATCAAAAAAAAACTAAGGAACTGCTAGGTTTATAAAAGCTAGCAGTCCCCTATAGTAAAAAATATTTTTTCAAATTTTTTCTTTTTATGTAAATTAGGTAGGTGCTTTTTAGGTGCTCCTAAATAGTCCAAGAAAAAATAGAATTGATTAATTATTAACTGAGATACAGATTTTTTGTTTAATTATCAGGGGACTGCTGGCTTTACGTTTACATGTTGGTATGTCAGAATGGAAAAAAAACTTAGGGATAATTAGGGATAACTAGGTGCTTTTTAGGTGCTAATTGGGGCCTCTAATTAAAAATTAGTTGCTCCTCTAGTTTTTGAGAAAATCAAAAAAAACTAATAAGGGATTGCTAAGTTTATGAAAGCTAGTAGTCCCCTATAGTCAAAAATATTTTTCCAAAATTTTCTTTTGTATCAGAATTAGGTGCTTTTTAGGTGCTCCTAAATAGTTGAAGAAAAAATAGAATTGATTAATTATTAACTGAGTTAGGTACAGATTTTTTTTAATTATAAGGGCTGGCTTTACGTTTACATGTTGTTGTGTCAGAATGGAGAAAAACTTCGGGATCTATATAATAATTAGGTGCTTTTTAGGTGCTAATCAGGGCCTCTAATTAAAAATTAGTTGCTCCTCTAGTTTTTGAGAAAATCAAAAAAAACTAAGGGATTGCTAAGTTTATGAAAGCTAGTAGTCCCCTATGGTAAAAAATATTTTTCCAAAATTATCAGAACTAGGTGCTTTTTAGGTGCTCCTAAATAGTCGAAGAAAAAATAGAATTGATTAATTATTAACTGAGTTACAGATTTTTTTTTAATTATAAGGGAACTGCTAGCTTTATGTTTACTTGTTGGTGTGTCAGAATGGCAAAAAAACTTCGGGATCTATATAATAATTAGGTGCTTTTTAGGTGCTAATTAGGGCCTCTAATTAGGTGCTGCTCTAGTTTTTGAGAAAATCAAAAAAAATTAAGGGATTCCTAGGTTTATGAAAGCTAGTAGTCCCCTATGGTAAAAAATATTTTTTCCAAAATTTTCTTTTGTATCAGAACTAGGTGCTTTTTATGTGCTCCTAAATAGTCGAAGAAAAAATAGAATTGATTAATTATTAACTGAGCTACAGATTTTTTTTTAATTATAAGGGGACTGCTGGCTTTACGTTTACATGTTGGTGTGTCAGATTGGAAAAAAAATTCGGGATGCACATAATAATTAGGTGCTTTTTAGGTGCTAATTAGGGCCTATAATTAAAAATTAGGTGATGCTCTAGTTTTTGAGAAAATCAAAAAAAAATTAAGGGATTCCTAGGTTTATGAAAGCTAGTAGTCCCCTATGGTAAAAAATATTTTTTCCAAAATTTTCTTTTGTATCAGAACTAGGTGCTTTTTATGTGCTCCTAAATAGTCGAAGAAAAAATAGAATTGATTAATTATTAACTGAGCTACAGATTTTTTTTTAATTATAAGGGGACTGCTGGCTTTACGTTTACATGTTGGTGTGTCATATTGGAAAAAAACTTCGGGATGCACATAATAATTAGGTGCTTTTTAGGTGCTAATTAGGGCCTCTAATTAAAAATTAGGTGCTGTTCTAGTTTTTGAGAAAATCAAAAAAAATTAAGGGATTCCTAGGTTTATAAAAGCTAGTAGTCCCCTATAGTAAAAAATATGTTTCCAAAATTTTCTTTTGTATCAGAACTAGGTGCTTTTTAGATGCTTTTTAGGTGCTCCTAAATAGTCGAAGAAAAAATAGAATTGATTAATTATTAACTGAGTTACAGATTTTTTTTTAATTATTAGAGGACTGCTGGCTTTACCTTTACATGTTGGTGTGTCAGAATGGAAAAAAACTTTGTCAATGTCTAGAATTACCTAATCGTATATAATATGAGTGGTGTTATTATTGATAATAGTAAACCTTATTCTATGATAATAGTAAACATAATAACCAACATTGCAAATAGTAATTTTGCCATATGCTAGAAATATTTTCAATTCATCTGGGTCCTTATTCTTGAAACCAGGGAGCAGCGTTCCCAGGAGAACGAGTGTTCCGTCTTTGTTACTTACTTATATTATCATTTGCATATTGCTGGAAAAGACAGAACACTCGTTCTCCTGAGAAGACTGCTCCCCTGTTTCAAGAATAGGGACCCTGGTAGGTATCTACTTACCTATTATGCCACTTTTTTTTCTTTTTGTGGCTTCATAATACATTTTTGAGTAAATAGTAGCAAGTAGCAAGAAGGAAAGCAAAATTTATTGGTTGGCATATCTATCGATTGGGTGACAGAACTCCAAGTTCCTCTATTCTAGCTTTAATACATTATACAAGAAATTTAATTTGGAGTTTTATTAGTTTCCAATAAGCAAACTTATCAATAACGTCAGATCCTAAAACTTTTCTTCATCATGTAAGTTAGGATAATAATTAAACATATGTAAAAGCCTGGAAGCGTTTATTCCAGATGCATTTAAGAAAATAACTGATTTAAGAGAAATAAAAGATGTTCTATAGGGGGAACAAAATTCAATTATGTTAAAAGTGCAGCTAAGTAAATATGATTAAGAATTCAGCTGGATTTTGTGGTAAACTTCCGAACAATCGTATGCCGACTTTATTTGACACAAGTATGATAATAAGACAAACAAATTGATTTTTGGAGGCAAATTTTTCCAGAAATGTTTATTGAAACACAATCGCATGCTTTAATACTTCATAAGGTATAATATATCAAATTTATTCGAAAACAATATCCAGATAAAAATCTATGTACAATAAAAATAATATCTCAATATCAATAATAGAAAACAATTTATTTGAGAATAATATTCCGGAAATCCTATTACTTTTCATAAACCTAAAGTCGCTACTTTCTCTGGTAAGCATGATAGATCGCTTTCTTCTTCAGTGGGCAAAATATTTATTTTGTTTATCGGCGGTGCAACGTAGACGCAGTAATGGATTTTCTTATTCCTAAGAAGACTGTAGGTGTTGTCAAACGTCACTGTATCTAGAAGAAACAAAAATCTTATTGTTTGTTAAATGCAACTAGCTATAGTCTATAGAAGCGCAATAAAAAATGCCTAATGAAAAACAGATCAAAACACACAAAAATCACAGTAGTTACCTACTTATGTCCTCAAATAAGTTGTTTTAGTGAAAAAAAGGAAAAATGTTTATAGGGCTATTGCATCAAATATGTGGAATATTGAAACTACATATGGTAGACAGACCGGACTAACTTACTAGACACATAGGACTTAATATCTACTCCCCCAATCTGTACTAACACGATAGGATACGAGATTTGCGCTGTATGCAGATGAGGTGCAATCCTTGTTCAGAAAAAAACTGCTGGAAGAGGATTCTTCATGGTTTAGGAAAGTCAAATAACTAAGACTGACCCATATGGATTCGATGCTGATAGGAGACAGTGGAAGAAAAACTGTGGATGGTGGGTGTCCATCAATGCACCTTGGAATAAGTTGAACGTATAGGGCATACGAACTTAAAGATAAGGATATATTTTATCCAATTGGAAACACAAAAAGACTTCTTGTGAAGAAAAACAGAGAAAAGCTTTTAGGGGGCGGCTACACATCAGAATTTGGATCCGAGAAAAATGTCTGAAGATATGATCAACAGTGCCAACTCAGGACCGTCGGTCGGAATGAACGTAGAGTAGACTAGACTACACTGACTACTTGTTATTCTCCATATTGCAGATGTCTCTTAAAGAATTTCAAGCTCGAGAAAGCAAGATAAGATAAGTAGGTACCTATTTCTATGCGGAATTATAGGCAAGTAAGTTCCAAATCTGCGAATGGATCTCTCTTCATTGTCTTACAGAGCACAATAACTTGTAGGTACCTACTTCTATTCATATGTGTTCCTAATTCGGATAAGTGTCATTCTATTACACTCGAACAATTTTGTCGTCGAACAACAAAAGTAAGTATATTGACCAACAAATGGCCATTTTAAACTCAATAGATGAACCAACACTTTGCTTCAATTTACTAAGTATGATTGTAGTCAGTCAGGAGTAGATTCGAATTCTAAATAAGGCAATGTAGTTTTACGAGCAAAATAACTCTACTCCCCTAATACCGAAACTTTTTATTTTTACATTCGATTCAATACTTACAAATCGCTGGTGCCTGGCACGCCAACACTCCGTTTTCGTCGATCTGATGTGACGATACTCGGCCATGTCTAACTGCAGGGGTAGTATTCCCATCCGCGTCTTTGAGCGTGATACCGAAACGAATGTCGTGGTCTTCGGTTCTGAATTCCCACCTAAAAACATTTCCAAAGTTTAAGTATATCGTTATGTTGTTATTATCATTTACCTCAAAAAGGAACCTTCTTCCTCTACAACAAAATCTAAAGTAATTTTGTCGCCTTTCTTTATCACAGCTGTGACGTACTCTCTGTCTTGGGACAGTGAGTTTTCATCTAGTTTTTTCGTGTAGAATGATTTTGGTACTTTGCCTCCTTGATTAATCTATAAAGAATATAATTGAAAAAAAGATCGGGGGTTGCTTATAGTTAATCTACCTTGGTTACATATCGAGGATTTCCATCAGGATCCTCTAGTTCACCACCAAAATGTTTAGGCAACTGATCAGGAGCTACATTCGACAAAATGGCAGCTTTCCATTTTTTCGGATCCTTTTTAAAAATTTGAATTTTCGAAATGGTGTATTCGTTTAAAAACTTTTTGACAACATTGAATGCAATGGCGAATACTCTTGGAGCTAAAACATTGATTTTTTTGGTACAAAACTATTGTATATTAAACTGCTTACCATTTATGATATAACAAGACTTCAATATTTCAGGATAGTTCGCCTCATACATTTGGAGCAATGCTATTATAAATTCGCCAGCTAAAAAATAGGAAATTCGTATCAAATTATTTGAATAGGTACATTATTATATCCTCTCGCACCTGGTCTCCATGCATATTGTCTTAAACTAAAACCATCCATGTCAAAAATTACTAATACGTTATTGGCTCCTGTTTCAGCAGCCATTTTCAGAACCCGTTCTAAAATCTGGATTGTGGTTCGAATTAAATCTTGCCTCGATACCGAATGCAAAAGACCCACGATATCCAGACCGGCAAATGGCACAACAATGACTGAAAGAATGAAAATTTGGATATAAGTATCCTTCTTGTAGATTATTACAAATAATATACTTACTCGGTGCTCCATCTTTGTCAAATCCGCATATTCCGCTAGGGTAATACAACTGGATTGCTTCTGGAGGAATCCAGTCCTTCAATTTTGTCTCTACTTCCCACTGAAGCCGCCATTTCATGGACTAGAAGCAAATAGAAGAAGGTATTGAAATATTCGAAGTAGGTATAGTTTTTATTTGTATTTTTCATATTCGTGTCTCTAGATTTAGATGTTGAAGGGCTATCAAATTTAATTTGAAAAATATTTAAGTAGACATAAATATTCTCCTGCACGTTTGAACTATGAGCTTATGGATTTTTAACCCAAAGCTTATATTGAGTCTATTAATACCTATAATACTTTTTATGTATTTATTAAAAATAAACTATGATACTATTGTATTGAGTCGGTTACTATACTAGCTTTGTTAAAATGTATATTTATAAACACATTAATTGGCATAGTGCAAAAATGCTCTTGTCCATTCAGCCATTTTCCTGTCCAGTCTGTTTTTGAAAAAGTTGACTGGAAATGAATTTACATCAGTGTCCCAAATTCCAACTGCAGTAGAACCCCGAAGAATCCCAGTCTAAAGCCCCAAAAATCCTGATAATCCGAGGCACGCACGTCCATACTCCGTATTAACCGAGTTTCTAGATTATACAGGGTGTTTTTTTATATATTGACACCCCACCTACAGCCTTTACCTTTACAGGTAGAAGAAAGGTGTAAATACACAAGTTGTACAGTTTTGGCTGAATTTTTAGAAGCCATGATCAGAAACAAAAATTGAATGTCATTAATGTGAAATTTTGCATGCTTTCAGCTTTTTTCAAAGGGGATGCCCTATATTTAATTCTATATTCTTGAAGAGCACAATGACCCGATTCCAAAAATATACAGTTAGTCTATATTTGATTGAATAGTCTCTCATATATTCAGCTCCAAAAATTGTAAAAATACTATCCTACTACTGATTTTGTGAACCATTCTACCTGTACAGGTGAAAACTAGAGGTAACATTTGAGGTACTTGGTTTCTCTGATAGTATTTTTAAAATTTTTCGAACCAAATATGTTGGAGACGGCTCAACCAAATACAGACAAACTATATAGTTTTGGAATCGGGAAATTGTGCTCTTCAAGAATATAGAACCAAATATAGGGCGTTCCATTTGAAAAAAACTGAAAGCATGTAACATTTCACATTCCTGACATTCAATTTTTGTTTCTGACCATGGATTCTAAAAATTTAGCCAATACTGTACAACTTTTGTCTTTACACTTTTCATCTACCTACTTGTAAACGTGAAGGCTAGAGGTGGGGTGTCACTATAAAAAAAAAACACTCTGTACTTGAACCCTAACTTATTATATAAAGTCAGAATTTTGTCAATTTGCCTTTTAACAGGAATTAGTAATGTTACTTTACCAAACTAGTAATATAATGTGACAAGTTATTCAAGTACAAACGAGTGAATTGTTGCGGAACTTATGGGGGGACCTCTGCGGGACGAGCGCAGCGAGTTCCGCAGCCATCTATTCATCAATATGTTGAGTAATTACGATACTAACCTGACTCACTCAAATGTGAGTTATTCTTATCAGTTTAAAAACTGCACGTTTCAGGTGAATGTCTTACTTACAGAGTTCAACAGTATATTAGTGAGTAGATAGCTGCGGAACTCGCTGCGCTCGTCCCGCAGAGGTCCACCCCATAAATTCCGCAACAATCCACTTATTTGTACTTATTATGATTATGATTGTTCACTTTTTGTCAATTTGCCTATTAACAGGAATTAATAATGTTACTTTACTAAACTAGTAATATATTGTGACAAGTTATTCCAGTACAAACGAATGGATTATTGCGGAACTTATGGGTGGACCTCTGCGGGACGAGCGTAGCGAGTTCCGCAGCCATCTATTCATCAATATGTTGTGTAATTACGATACTAATCTGACTCACTCAAATGTGAGTTATTCTCATTATTTTAAAAACTACACGTTTCAGGTGAATGTCTTACTTAGTTCACACAGTATATTGGTGAGTAGATGGCTGCGGAACTCGCTGCGCTCGTCCCGCAGAGGTCCACCCATAAGTTCCGCAATAATCTACTCGGGAAATTGTGCTCTTCAGGAATATAGAACCAAATATTGCGTATTCCATTTGAAAAAAGCTAAAAGCATGCAAAATTTTACATTTCTGACATTCGATTTTTGTTTCTGACCATGGTTTCTGAAAATCCAGCCAAAACTGTATAACTTTTGTATCTACACCTTTCTTCTATCTGTAATTCTGACTTTAAATAATAAGTTAGGGTTCAAGTAAAGGGTGTTTTTTTTTTATATATTGACACCCCACCTACAGCCTTCACGTTTACAAGTAGGTAGATGAAAAGTGTAAAGACAAAAGTTGTACAGTATTGGCTAAATTTTTAGAATCCATGGTCAGAAACAAAAATTGAATGTCAGAAATGTGAAATAATGTTACATGCTTTCAGTTTTTTTCAAATGGGATGCCCTATATTTGGTTCTATATTCTTGAAAAGCACAATTTCCCGATTCCAAAACTATATAGTTTGTCTGTATTTGGTTGACCCGTCTTCAACATATTTGGTTCTAAAAATTTTAAAAATACTATCAGAGGAACCAAGTACCATCGTCACCAAAAGTATCTGGGACAAAAATAATTCATATTAATCTCCTGGACTAATTTAACCGTCATTCATTTCAATGTATTTAATTCATAGTTTGACAAATATTTGACACTAAAATTCATATAATAGTACAAGAGCTAATATGATGCTGTCCCAGTTACTTTTGGTGACGATCGTACCTCAAATTTTACCTCTAGTTTTCACCTGTACAGGTAGAATGGTTCACAAAATCAGTAGTAGGATAGTATTTTTACAATTTTTGGAGCTGAATATAATGAGAGACTATTCAATCAAATATAGACAAATTGTATATTTTTGGAATCGGGGCATTGTGCTCTTTAAGAATATAGAATGAAATATAGGGCATCCCGTTTGAAAAAAGCTGAAAGCATGCAAAATTTCACATTAATGACATTCAATTTTTGTTTCTGACCATGGCTTCTAAAAATTCAGCCAAAACTGTACAACTTTTGTATTTACACCTTTCTTCTACCTGTAAAGGTAAAGGCGTGGGGTGTCAATATATAAAAAAACACCCTGTAGATACATACAGGATATACCATTTAAAAGGAAACATGCTAAATATCTGATGCCACGTTTATTTTTCAAAAAATCGTTCGTACACGTAATTTGATTTTCAAAGGAGGAAATTTTTTATTATCATTTTCAGCATATCAACTTCAACCCTCTTGGCGGGGTGGGACCAACCCTCACTTTTTCAAATGGAACAAGGGGTCGAGTGATACCTCTTTCAAAAGAGTGTTCAATTCTATTTTAATTGATATCACTTGAAAGAAAATTGAGCGTTCTTTTGAAACAGGTATCACTCGAACCCCTGTTCCATTTGGAATGATAAGGATTGGTCCCACCCCCGCTAGAGGATTAAGTTAGTGCTGAAAATGTTTCAAACACTCACACAATCAAATTACGTGTACGAACGATTTAAAAAATAAATAAAAGTGACATCAGATATTTAGCCTGTTTCGTTTCAAATGGTAGGTATACCCTGTATACATATATATGTATTCGGATTCGGATTATCCGCGTTTTCAGTTATCCGAGGTGGGTACCCCCCACGTTACCTCGGATAACCGGGGTTCTACTGTATATAAACTACTCGATTGGACACAAAATTCCTACGCAAAAGCCTGGCACATCTCTCCTTACAGAGTTTCTTGTTGTGACCCCTTATTTTGAATATTTCTACTAGATCCCCATGGGTTCGTCTTTCATAAAGTATCTTTTTTGGGTGCTTCAATATTCCTTGGCAAAATGAAGACTCCATATGCTTTGGGTTTACTCCAGCCTGAGTCTTATGTAAGTCTTGTACAGCTTTACAAATATTTGAGGTGTGGAATCTTCAAATGTATTGAAAATCCGGTACATGATGGAGATACTTTTTTATGATATGGTTTTCCCACTCCAGGTCTTTAATGACAACAATGCATTTTGGTTAGCAACACAAATCACCTGGGTAGGCCCAATGAAATATTGCATCCTAGGGATGATTTTGCCCAGGTGAAGATTGAATACTTGGAGTCATTCATTGGCTTTTGCCAGGTGGTTGTTTACTGTTAGATGGCAGCCTATATCCCCCTGGGTCCTTATTCTTGAAACAAGGGAGCAGCGTTCCCAGGAGAATGAGTGTTCTGTCCTTCTCAATGATATGCAAATGATAATATAAGTAACAAAGAAGAAACACTCGTTCTCCTGGGAACGCTGCTTTCCTTTTTCAAGAATAAGGACCCTGGATGCTTCCATTCTGCATTACAGGATTACTATAACAACAGGTATCATCCGCAAATGACATCTGACTCCTTAATTCATTAGGCAGATAACTATAATAATAATATATACAAGAAAAGTAAGTAGAGGACTAAGGACGGAGCCTTGGAAGGCACCATTAAGAACTTCACAGGAATTTGACTTCATGGACACAGAATTGTTGATCCTGCAGAAAATCTTGGATTAGGCTGAGAAGAAGAAGTCCTCTTATACCATAGTGATGGAGTTTATGAAGAAGCCGCCCAAATAGTACCTTGTCAAAAGCCTTCTTAAAATCCAGGTAAAATACTGCCCTTATCCAGTCATGAACCTTGGTAAGCAGGTTCCCAAAAGTGAACCTTCCAGGAAAGAACCCCTGTTGGGAATGTGGGATGATTCCATTTCCGAGCAAAAATCCAGACATCTCAGATACTAGGACTTTCTCCATGCAAAGGGCGGTTGTTAAGCTGTTTTTTGTAAATAGGCACTATACAATTGCATTCTTCCATTCCCTTGGTAGTTTTCCCTGCCTAAGAAGATTGTTCATCATGGCTGAGAGAAAATGTGAAAGAACTGCAGGAAAATAGCAGGGATTTCATCCTCTTCAAAACTAGGAATCTGGTGAATACAATGGGTTTCAGATGCAGAATGCAAACTTATTAGTTGGAGATCTTTTTCAAGCCCTCTGTCTAGGATTGAAGCTTGGAGATTTTAAAGAGAATCCACTCAATTTTTTGCATTAACAACATCGTCTCCTTTTTCTTCTTTAGAATTCAAATATTATTGATCTATGGGTATAGGCCTGTCCCAAATCTCACCATCATCAAGCAGCACTTATCTTCAGCGTAATTATGCGGTCTATCCAACTCATCTTTGATTTCAGTCCTCAAGACTCTAAGATTACTGACTGTAGTGGTTCTATTAATAACTGAGATATCATCGACAATGTACCATACATACATATATATTTTTATGGGAATGTGAGGTTCTTTCTTGAAGAAACCAGTCCCTGATTTCTTTGTGCTAAGTATCCATAAAACCTCTCTTTTCGTTCATTTCTAGGTCCATATCCAGAGTTGTCAATTTTGTATTCGATTCCTCCTTGTCCTTATAACCTAATTTTTCATTGAGTTGCGCATGATAAAAGTTTGGTATTTAAACGATTCGGTTGACATTGAAAGTTACTCTTTACCTTAACTTCTTCATTCTACTTTTTACTGTTCCTACTTACTTGTCTGAGCATCTTTTCAGCAGCTTCGGCGTTCCACGATCTTGCTGAAATATTTAAAAACAAGATGAAATTTCATCGTCAATAAATACATGGCTGTAAAAGATACAGGAAAGTACCTACATAATATAACAAATAATCTAAATAGGCTTATTAAAGAACTAGGTAACTATATTGAAGTTCCAGTTGAAAAAACATTTCATTGTCATTAATAATTTTTTATACATGTATTTTTACTCCGGATGTGAAAGTGCCACCTTATACAAGTTAGAAATTGCATATGCCTTTTAAATGTTAGTGTTATACATGCATAATGGGATCCTTAATTAATAAATTCGTGAATTTTTCCTTCTATACTCACCCCGAAGCCATCGCACCAAAAATGCATCATTATGATTAGATTGTATAACATCTTGAACACTTCTTCTGAACTGAAATTAAAATAAATAAATAAAGTCATAATTCATTCTACCTTTTTATAAATCTACATACTAACAACTAAGTAAAGAAACGATATATCAATTGATTGAGTTCTACATAATCGACAATAAATTTTTCTGTCTTCGGTAAAAGAGGGCTTATTAGAAAGCTACAATCAGTCAAACTAAGTACCTATCACTCTAGTTGATAATAATAAGTTAATTAGTCACTTTGTTGATTGGAGCGAGCCTATTTCCCATTATAGAAAAAAAAGTTAATTTGACACTTATAACAAAGTCTATATAATTTGCACAATTAATTATCATATCTTATTTAATAACAACTTTGAAATTATTGTATTTCAATTATGGATGATAGTTCAATTTTATTTTGTTTTTTGACCTACATGCTTTTAAATTACCTAATTATTTCCGCATACGATATTATAACGACTCATTATTAGTAAATAAACTAATATTGTCGCTATTCTTTCTTATATTCAATAGACTAAAATAAGGTTTTGCAACGATCACGTAAAAACTAGTACACACTCGCGCGAAACCACCAATTTGGTCTGCATTTCTTACGTGAGCTTGCAATTCTGTTTATGCAACATTTCGATTTTTTTTCCAATTGGTTTCCTCCATTTCATAACTTGTAACACTTTGAATGTTGCGCCTAGGTGCATACCAAGTGAAATAAGACACAATTCTATACGTTTTGCTTAATGAAAGTATAATGCCTTTTAAAATAGGAACATCGAGAAGTTTATTTTATTAGGTATGTGATGCAAATAATGCAACTTTATAGTTATATAATGTCTGTATAAGAATAAATAGCCTAATATTAAACAGACTAAATAATCACACATTATTATTATTTATTGGATGATTAGATGGTCATCAAAATAACTCATCTCAGTCATAGCAAAGTCTTTTAAGCTTGTAGACTTATGAGACACCTAAAGATAAATGAAAAAGTTGATGAAAAGATGAACTAGATCAAATCTTTGTACAAGTCTGAAGGTATTTCAGAAATTTTACTGATTCAAGGCTTTAGTAAAAATATCAGCTATCTGCTCATTTGTTGGACAATATTCAATAGTTATTATACCCTCAGACAATTTCTCATTGATATAATGGTAAAGCACGTCTTTATGCTTACTTCATTTGTTAAACTGTCCATTATTCATTAGTTCAATTGCACTTTGGTTATCCACTTCCAAATTTACTTTAATGTCACTGTTCATGAGTTCTTCCACCACTGTTTTTAGGTAAGTCAGTTCTTTTACACTTTACACAATCAGCAGCAGTTATGTACTCCGCTACTCAGCCTCTGTACTTGATAAAGAGACTATAGATCTTGCACACCAAGCGATTGGTCCTCCACCGAACAGGATTACAAAACCTGTTGTACTTTTTTTTGTCACAAGATCACCAGCGAAATCAGAGTCACTGTAGACAGTGATTTCGCAACAATTTGAGTTCATTTTATAACATCATTTTTAGTTTACAGGCCACTAAGTAATGAAGTATACGTTTTACGTTTACAATATCTTCAGCTGATAGATTTTCCTTTTTCATGCTACACATGTTCACTAAATATGATATATTATCTGGTCTGGTCTTATTAGTCAGACATACAAAAGGCTTCTTATTATTTTTCTGTATAGGAAATTTCCTTTGGCTGAAGTTGTTTTGGATTGTAGTTGACACTGGTTTTAAGTTTTCAAATCCAAAGTCTTCCTAAAAGGATTCTAGAAAAGCTTCTTGATACAAAACAATAATGTCATATTACGTTCTTAATTGCATACCTAAATTTTTTTTTAGAATACTGCATGAAACCCTATCAAATTCATGTCTTAATTCTCGCAACAAATTGTCCATATTGTCCAAAAACAATGCCATTGTCAACATAAATACCCAAAAACAAGGTTGAATTCGAATTTTGGAAAATGCATTTTTCACTTCTCAACGCAGTATGGCCATTTACATTACTACAATTTAATCAACATTATGGACAAGCTCCTGAGAACTGAAAGGTTTGATACTGATCCCAGCTCATCAAATACAGCGAGGGAATAGTGTCACTGGAAAACTACATTACAGAACTTCACGTAGTCATTGAAGGATGTATAGAGGAAGCACAAAAGCTGCAGCTGTTCACAAACTATGTAACTCACAACGAGTACGAATACGTTTCTGAAGCAAAAACCTACGTTGATGCTGTGAGTATCTCAGATAACATCTACATAAAACCTCAAAATGAAGCATTTGCAAGATATATTCTTCCTACGAGGAAACAGCAACATGGAAAAAACGTGAGCCAGTACATTCAAATTTTGCTCAGCAAAGAGTGTAACTTCAAGAACGTTACTGCCAAAGAACATCGCGAACTTTCAATTAGAGATGCATTCATTAGCGGCTTATTGTCAAATAAAATTCGTCAACACCTCTTGGAAAAAAGTAATCTAACTTTAGATGAAGCACCATCACAAGCTTTATCTCTTGAATCTGCTCAAAAACATTCTGAGGTATACCAAACAAGTTTCATCAATTCTAGTAAGGCGGAAAATCCTCAAGTGCAGCAGCAAAGATACACTGTTTTGAGTGCTACCTACATGCTATTATTGTGGAAATAGAATACATGATCGCTCTCTTTGTCCTGCCCTGCATGGCACATGCAAACAATGCAATAAAAAAGGTAATTTCTGTCTCAAACATTGGCTTCTGTTCTTGGAAGTTTATGAAAAACTGCGGTGCCAGTAGAAATCAATCAGTTACCGGCATATACGTTAATAGATACTGGCAGCTCTGAGACTTACTTGAATGAGTAATTTGTTTTATTTAATAATCTCCCAATTCAACCAAGTAAATGCTACATGTCTATGGCTCAAACTTCTTTGCATGTGGCACAAAGCAACATAAAATGTTGACCGTTTATTTTGGAGGACGCAAATCTTCCATGACCGTACTTAAAAAAAGCACTGTTCTCTAGATCCTGCTAAAATTGAACCTCCGCAATTATTCGCTAATCTATCATCGCAATGTAAGCCAATCGCTACAAAATCGAGAAAATGTTCACATAATGATGCCAAATTTATTTCAAGTAAAGTACAAAAACTTCTTTCGAAAGGTATCATTGAAGAAAGTACGTCTTCCTGGCGAGCACAAGTTCTTGTGACAAAGAACGAAAATCATAAAAAAAGAATGGTTGTTGATTATTCTCAAACAATCAACAAGTTAACTTATCTTGACGCTTATCCTTTACCCAATATTAAAAGGTTGGTAAGAGCAGTCTCAAAATTTGACGTTTTTAGCACTATTGACCTAGAAAGTGCGTATCACCAGTACCCTATAAGAGATGATGAAAAACAGTTCACTGCTTTTGAAGCTGATGGAAATCTGTACCAGTTTAATCGTATCCCTTTTGGTGTGACAAACGGCGTAGCTTGTTTTCAAAGAGTCTCACATACAATAATCAGGCAAGAGAATCTATATAGAAGGCGTCTATGCATATCTCGATGATATAACAATTTGTGGAAAAAATCAAGACGAACACGAGAAGAATCTATCAGCGTTTGTGACAGCTGTTACAAAGTACCACCTAACTATTAATAAAAGTAAAAGTTCGTTCAACAAAAAGACAATTAAACTACTAGGATACCTTATAGGAAACAGAACACCTGTACCTGATCCTGCAAAGACTTGAACCTCTACAGAATCTGCCAGTACCAACCGATAAAGCTTCACTTCAAAGAGCTGTGGGAATGTTCTCGTTACTCTAAATGGATACCTAGATTCTCCAAGAAAATTTATAGAATTGTTAGTACCAGAAACTTAACGAATGCAAGAGCCTGCTATCACCGATTTTCACAACTTGAAAACTGAAGTAGCAAAATCACCTGTCACTGCCATTGAAGAAAACATTCCATGTGGTGGAAACAGACGCCTCTGAACATTCAATAGAAGCAATTCAAAGGCAGTCTATACGACCAGTTGCGTTATTCTCAAAACAGTTCATTGTTTTTGAAGCTGATGGAAACCTGTACCAGTTTAATCGTATCTCTTTTGATGTGACAAACGGCGTAGCTTGTTTTCAAAGAGTCTCACATACAACGATGATGATAATGAAAATCCCATTCAATCTCGTAACGAATCAGAACAAGAAAGTAAACTCCTATAAACAAGTATGCACAAACACCTGATAAGCAGAATGATGATCCAGAACAAAATCCACACAATGATGATCCGGGAAAAATCCACACTTGGACACATCCGGAGAGGAATTCATATTAGTCTGACCTAGAAGAAACCGTCAGTCTCCAGATTATGTTTCAAAATAAGCCGGGAGAATGTGGTGATACACCTTTATGTTTTAATGTCATTGATTGCTTTTATCCAGTATTATTTTTTTTCTCTACTATGTATGCCTTCTGGATAAGTAAGCATAACATATTCTTCAAATATTTTTGGTTCTGTACCAGTTCTAGTATGTATTCATTATTTTTTTCTTTTAGGCCTTCTCCTAATGTATTATCATTATTTAAACTGTCATAAGAGCTTCTCGTTCTTATTGCGAATGGTAAAGAAAAAGTAAGATATTTCTGAAAATCGGGATGAACCCTAAGTTGTTGATACGCCCCTGTAAGATCAAGTACACAGAATACAGACCCCTGCCAAACCTGCAAATATATCCTCTGGTGTAGGTAAAGGATACTGATCTATATTCAAAATTCAAAGCTTTATTAACAGTTAACTTAAAATCTGTGCATATCCGAACATCATCGGTAGGTACCTACGTAGGTATAGGGTGTTTCAAATTCGAGCCACATCATTGGGATCTTGGAAACGATGAGAGATACAGGGTTGGTTAAATCGGGTAAAAGTAACGTAATTTGATGCTTAACAAAATGCCGCTTTGATATTTAGGATATTCCGAATACTTACGGAGATATCCGGAAAAAACCGAAATTTTGCAAAATTGTTTTTATTTTTTCCTGACTTTATTTAAAGTGATATTTCAAAAAAAAATCACTTCATCATAGCCACTTTTTCTCCCCTACAAGATGCTACTATCTAATTTAAAATCTGACGTTTCGTCTTTGAGCCACCATCATCAACTTTATTTTTTTTAAATAAGACCCTGGATTTTTTATTCCAGATTTCAGATGATGTCCCAAAACCTATGACCTATCGCATTTATTGGAAAAAATATTTATTTTTTTTTTAGAGCGAATAAGTGCAATACGTTATTGGTTCAGGGATATCTGAAGCTTATAAAATCTAAAATTGAAAATAAGGGTCCGTATTTTAAAAAAATCAAGTTGATGATGGTGGCCCAAAGACGAAACATCAAATTTAAAAATTGATAATGTACTCATCTTGTAGAGTAAGAAAAGTGGCTACCGTTTACGAGATCTCCATGATAAACATCCTTATATTGGACACCCTCTATACCCAAAATATGAAAGGCAAGAGCCAATTTCATTCCTAAAGCAGGCAAGAAGGACGGGACCGAACCTAAATCCTTCAGACTAATAAGCCTCACATCGTTCCCGTTCCTTCTAAAGACGATCGAAAAGGAAGTGGATAATTATACCAGATCCACTACCTTGGAAAGGTGCCTTTCAATGCAAGTCAGATCGCTTACAGAGCTGAAACAACTCTGCTCCAACTGACGAGCATGATTCAAGAAAGAAGTCGCATTATTATGCGCCTTCCTAGATATCACTGCTGCTTTTGACCACACAACCCATGTGGCCATTGGGAAAGCACTTCATTCATTAAATTAATTCAGGTTGTAAAGGCTATCTACACATTTAGAGCTGGGATTTTCTGCCCACAAGAGGTTTTGCAAAGATTTTGTATCACATTTACTATCGCTATATCTAAAAGATTCGTAGCACTTGTTCATCAGTAGACGGTTATCAAGTTTAGCTGTTGGTTAATTATAATAAATAGCCATTCGTTAACCGACAGCTAAAATAGAAAACCGTCCGCTGATAAACCGGTCTTTAACCAGTTCAAAAATCGTGATTGACGTTTGATTTTTCTACCAATCAAGCTATAATCCACAGATATATGTCAAAATACAAATTTCACTAAAAACAGAAAAAATGACTGATACACACAGTATTACGGAAGAATTTACGGAAGACCAGAATAAATATGTCCCACGGGAAGTGATTATCGCAGAGCTACCAGACAGTGATCAATCGGATGCTTCAGGGTAAGACTTGTAAAATATAAATACCATCAAAAAGTTGATTAATAATAATTGTAGTACATCAGATGATGATGCTCGCGAAAGGCCAAAAACCGACATCCCTCCTGAGTACTGGCATATACAAAAACTGGTCAAATTCCTGAAAACGGGCAATCAAACCGCTACTGCTATAGCATTGTGTTGCCTCAAAGATCACGATCTAACCAATGATTTTAATCAATTAGCAATTCAGGTAGGTATAATATAATTTCCATCTCTAAATTCGAACAATTAATTATTTAAGGAAATTGGTGGATTAGAACTATTGATTAATTTACTCGATACAAAAGACATTAAGTGTAAATTAGGAGCGTTGAGTGTTTTAACAGAACTTTCGACGAATCATGATATTCGTAAATGTATTGCCAACCTGGGTGGCATGAATCTATTGGTGAATAATTTATTAGAGCCAGCAAAAGATTTACAAATTCTTGTAGCTGAAACCATTTATAATGTAGCACAAGTGAGGAAAGCTAGAAAACATATTAGGTCTAATGAATGGAATGCATTTGTAAGAGTTTATACATTTGAATATATTTTAGACAATGTGATGGTATACCAAAACTAGTAGATTTCCTGGATTGCGATGAAATGTATCTTTATACACCAAAAAATAAATTGAGCGAAACAGAAATTGAAGCTCTAAATCTTACAAGCGCTGCTGCAAGGGCTTTATGGTCAGTTTCAAGGAGTAATAAGAATATCGGTGTTATGATGAAAAGTGGAGCTGTACCTTTACTGGCCAGATTGTTAAAGTAGGTACCTATTGCTAAAGTTTTTATATTTTGTGATAATATTTTTAAGGACAATACATATGGATGTGGTTATTCCAACAATTGGCACAATTTCTCAATGCGCAATTGATCCATCTTATCAATTAGCAATTCAGACTGAGGGCATGATAAGAGATATTGTGAGACATCTTTCAGCTGAGGTAAGATACATTTACAATAACAAATTTAGTAGTAGTACCTGAATATTGTTAGGAATATCCAGAATTAAGACGATTTTGCGCAGAAACAATATTCAAATGTTGCGGCAATGCGATTACCCGCGACATGGTTAGGCAATCAGGAGGATTGGATCCATTGGTTAACATGGCCAAAGATGCCAAAAATAAGGACGATAAGCAACTTCTTGCTGCTGTTACGGGAGCTATATGGAAAACTGCTATCAGTCCTGAAAACGTTGAAAGATTTGATCAACTTAAAACAGTAGAGGTACACCATTCATAGATAATTCCTATTGTCCTATAATTATATTTTATCAGGTTTTAGTAAAACTATTAGAAAACGTAGAAGAATGCGAACTAGTTCTAAGCAACGTTGTTGGAGCTCTTGGGGAATGTTTAAAATTTGAACATAATAGAGGATCTTTAAGACGTGCCAACGGTATTCCACATTTGGTAAATTTGCTGAATTACACCTATCCGCCGATACTGGAAAACGTTCCAATGGTTTTAAAAGAATGCGCTGAAGACCCAGAATCTATGAGAGAAATCGAACAATTGGACGGTGTCAGATTGATATGGTCTTTGTTAAAAAACGATTCACCTAAAGTAACTATAATATGCATAATTATTTTTATTGGTACAGTTGAATAATATCTAATTTCAGGTACAAGCCAACGCAGCTTGGTCTTTGGTACCATGTATCAGAAACGCTACTGATTCCGGCGAAATGGTACGATGTTTTGTTGGCGGACTGGAACTGATTGTTAATTTGCTCAAATCTCAAGACTCGCATGTTTTGGCTTGCGTCTGTGCTGCTATTTCTGAAGTTGCAAAGGATATTGAAAATTTAGCAGTAATAACAGGTACACTTATTCATTTTCGAAATGTTTTTCTATACATATAACTTTCTTGGTGATTGGTGAAAGTCATGTTTCCTAGTTCATATTTTCTTTGGACTATTGTTGATTGCTCAACTCTTTACAGGATACTGACATATGGTTCCTGTATATAGTTTTCCATGAATTACTTTGAATGTCTCAATGACAAACAATAGTAAAATTTTACTTTACATGTATCTTGATGCGTGAGAAACATTACAAAATGTTTATCAGTGATAGCGGACGAAAATATCCTAATGCCACTTACATCTTACACAGAATGTTTAATGATTTGAAATTTTAAGAAACCACAAGGTATATGTATTGAAAATTTTCGAAGTCAGTAACAATAAGTTCTCGTCGATTTAAGATTTTCTTTAAAATAACCTTGGTTGAATAACAAATCTTCATTAATAATATTTTCGCAATATTCTGAAGAAATATACAAATTCTCGAGTATGATTTAGTAAGGTGATTAAAAAAAATCCCGTTTGCAAAATAACATTAAGGTGACAATTAGCTACGAATAAATTAATGTTAATACATTCAGAAAAACATTGTACTCGTGTCATTATAGTAGACCTCACTCAAGGTAAAGGATCCAAAAATTAGCCTTGAAACTATAGCATGTAATTTTTTTTTTTAATGTATTTTCAACCATAATAATTAATATTTCTGGTCGTTGAGAATATATAATTTTTAGCGGAAAAGATCTTTGAACCATCAATTATAAGTTAACTATGTATTTTTTTTAGATCACGGTGTAGTACCATTGCTAGTCAACTTAGTGGAAACAGAGGATGTAGAGTTGAGGCAACACTTAGCTGCGGCAATAGCATACTGTTGCGCATGGGGATCTAACTGTAAAGAATTTGGAAGGTATTTTCTTTTATAAATTGACGTCACGAAAACCTAACGAGCAATTAAATTTTAAGTACCAAACCAATAAGCGTCAAAACCCGAAATATTCCAAAATAATAATTAACATATTTCCTTGAAATGGTTGTTCACCCAGCCAGTAGTATAATGATATCAATGTTATTTTTCTAGATTGGGTGCAATCACACCCCTAGTACAATACATGGCGGATGGAGATCCTGTAGTACACAGAACCACTGCTCTAGCACTGTTTCATCTATCGAAAAACCCTTTCAATTGTATTACGATGCACGAAAGCGGAGTAGTTCCGTTTTTGCTCAAAGCAGTTTCGTCTACCGATTGGAAACTGCAAGAAGCAGCTGCCGGTTGCTTAGCTAACGTCAGAAAGCTGGCCCTTGAAGCTGAGACAAGACATTTGATTCGAAATTCACCATTCGATTCGGACGATAATGATTAATTATTTTGTGCTTACAGCAATATTTATATTAATAAAATATTTTGTTTATTTTTAATTGTTTCTTCTATTTATTGGTCGGTGTTAAAGTCCTTCCAAGAAAATCCTACCTGGTTTAAGTTATTGCAGTTCCTACCATCTCTCATTTATTCCGTAATAAATATAAAAATGTGTCACAAGTTTAAAAAAAGACATACCTATAGGTACTGTTACTTACTTTCATAAGGGCAAATCTTTGATCATCATCAAGAACAAGTTGTTTGCAACTCATTTCCACTATTAAAGAATATAGACTTACTTTCACAAGCGCACTTATTCAAGAAACCGCGACAGCGTAATTTCAATTTACGTAAGAACCGCGGTACTTCGACGATGTAAGAAACAAAACTGAATGGTTCCTTTATCGAGAGATGGTGCGGCGATTTGGTGGGACGTTGGCGCTAGCTTTCTTGTTATTTCGACGTAACTGAACTTACGATTGTGTAGTGGTACAGAATTTTATGCACGCGACGCTAATTTTTTTTCGAAATAATTGCCTTGCTGATGCACTGTATGTATGTATGTATGTATGTATGAATCGTTGAAATTATATAAATATGTTGTGAGTATATAGTTCTTAAACACTGAAATTTAGTATAGAATATAAGTAATGCTTTTCTTATAGAAATCGCGCTGATTGTAATGTATTGTTGTCATATTCTACGTGAAAACTAAAAAAACAAAAAATAATTTAAGGTAGGTTTATTATATATTTTTTTTACTACTAACCTGAGAAATTGTCATTATTCAATCTATTTTTCTAGGAAAAAATTGAAATTTTTCTCCCTAGGTGAATAATGAAAATAATGAAAAAATACCTAGGTTAATAATGAAAATGACGTCATGACGCAAGGATATTGTCATGTTTCTATTGGTTCAATTTCATTTCCATACGTCAATTTGAAAAAAATACAGGTTTCTGTAGGTACATAGGAAGTTATCATAAGCTGTTGATAGAGGGCAGCACTTTCAAGAGGGCGTTCAAAAAAAAATAATTGGAGCACAGATTTTAAACAAATTTTTCATTTTCTACTAGCAGTAGTAAAAAAAATTCTATATATTCCTCGGTAGAGAAAGTCATTATATACCTCACTCATTGTAAACCTCGGCGCGAGCGCCTCGGTTTATAAAAGCGCTCGGTATATAAGGACCAACTTCTCTACCTAGGTATATAATATACTATTATTACCATTATTATATTACAATGGGCTCTTTCACTAAAATTTAAATACGTAATTTAAGTATAAAATCTCGAAGAAGGGACTATTTTAGGCATATATATAAAAAAAAATGTTCTACAAGGTTCAATAAGTTTTTCACAGGCACATGAATCTGACGAAATTCAAATTAATTTTAAACGCGCCGATTTGCCGACGTCACATAAATATTCTTCATTTCGCTTATGATGTTGCAAGGAGGACCGGCTCGGCTGTGTTTGCGCTCTGTGAAGATACGTAAAGGTTGGAATGCGCTGTTGTCGGCTGTGATTACATGTAGTGCAGCGTAAAATAAATAAATAAAACTAAACATAAAAAATTGTATTAAATTGTGTTTAAGCATAATTTAAAAAAAAATGTTATAAAATCTTGAATCTATAACTAATTAATTTAACTACTTTTCATGAGATTTTTCCAACATTTCAGAATTAAATCTATTACAAATTTTCAATGTTAACAATTAGTGGCAACACGGTCAAATTGCGAGCTGCGACGTCATAGAAATAAATTCTGGGTTTTTATTTGGAGGTATTTCTTTGTTTTCTGTTTTCTCAAGAAGGACTTTGAATTTTTCAAAAGTAAAAATACAGAAAATTCTGTTTTTAGTTGCTTTATCCAAATATGCCAATTTCAAAAATTAGTGAAAAAGCCCATTACGAATAAATTATGATGTTGAATGAAATATTATAGTCGAAATAAATTGATAAAACAAGCACAGAATATTTTAAATCCAATCCAAGATCTATGCATCAGTCCCCAAAATCAAATCAGGTTCTGGGCCCAGATTTCAACCAATGAAATGGAGGTGAGTGTTACCACCGCCACCTGGTTGCGACGGTTAAGTAAGGGAGACTTTGTTATAGCACTGGTAAAGGCCTTTTTGTACTGCGGTATAGCGTGCCACCAAGGACTTTGTTTTAAAGTCCCACTGAAAATCTAAGGTAATTTCGAACGGATACTTTTTAGTAATCTGAATAGATTGCCTCTTCCAGTGTGGGTTCTTGCTACCTGAGCTGTACGCAGTTAGTTGGAATGTCGAGGTTTTCCAAAGGAAATATAAGAATTAGTTTTTCTTACCGAACTCTAACAATGGTTTATTGAACAAATGGTAAATCTTGGTGAGGAAATGAAAGACAAGTAAAGAATATACAGTAAGTTATTAACAATGTTTACTGAAATGAAATGGAAGAAAATACCTACATACGGAGATTTTGAATGAAAGGGAGTGAAATAAATGAATGAGCGTCCTGTATAAGGCGTTCCTTGATGGTACAAGTTACATAAGAATTTAAAGTTAAAAATATACAGAAAATAAAAATTAGGTTATAATTCTTAATGGGTAAAAAATCACGGGCGTCCTCGACAAGGGAATGACAAAACGGCCTTGTTATTCAGGGTAAAATACATGTTGGAAAGGAGATTTGAGTTGTGAAGCTAACCCAATGGTTTTGTTCTTTACACAGGGGAGAAAATAAATAATAGATAGAAAACAACAATCATGATGAATAAATTAAAATACTTGATATTGAAACATTAACTAAGGTCTCGGAAAGAGAGTCAGCAGAAAGACTTCAACATTAAACACCAGAACTTCGTTACAGAACTGAATGAATCTAGGAGATTCACAGGCTTATTTATATTGACAGCTTGATGACGCTTTTGGGATTCTTATCGAACGCAAAACATGCGGTTTGTTCATAGAACCAGGAGTCGAGAGTTGTATTTTAATACTCAATCAGGACACTGTTTCGGGATCCGACTGATAACCCTTGGCTCTCTACACGGTTTCGTCAGAAATTTAGCGACCTAATCTCGCTGAGTGAAGAAATCAATTGATTGTATTACGAAGCAAAATAAAAAAAAAATTAGACTATTTTGTTACAGTGAGCAGTACAATGTCTATCAAAAATCATTTTAATGTTGAGTTGCTGAATGGGAGAAATTATCACACATGGAAGTTTCGTATGAGTATTTTGTTTGAGGAAAAAGATATTTTAGTGACAGTATCGGTTTTAGGATGCCCAAAGATGACAAAATTGCAAATAAAAAATCTAGGTCCGTATTTAAAAAACGTAAGTTGAGGATGGCCGCCTGAAAACGAAACGTCGAATTTTAAATTTAGTAGCGGTAAAGGGGAAAAAGTGACAATGATGAAATGACATTTATTTTAAAATTGCTTTACAAATAAGCCCGGGAAAAAATAAAAAAGATTTTACAAAATTTTGGTTTTTTCCGAATATCTCCGGAAGTATTCGGAATCTTCCTAGTTTCAAAACGGCATTCTATTGGTCATAAAACTGCGCAACTTTGCCATAATTTAACCGACCCCGTATTTCTTACGGTTACCGAGATCCCAATGATGAGGTTCGAATTTGGGTCACCCTGTACAGCATATTGTCACGTTCCGAAACAATTTAGGAGTAAGTTTGATTCAAAGGCAAAGAAATGCTTGATGATTGGATTTACAGTAACAGGATATAGATTATGGGATATTATGGAGCAGAAGGTAGGTAGTTATTACAAGAGATGTAATATTTAATAAGAATTAATTTTAAATTAAAATGGAGGAGCAGAGACAGAAAGGAATATACCAAATATTAATAATGAAAACGTAATATGTAGTAGAAGAAAACGAAGATGATCGAGATAAAGACAGACAAGAAATACAAGAAGAAGAAATAGAAGATAGAAGACAAGAAATACAAGGACAAAGAACTAGACGAGTACCGAGTAGATGTAAATGTATATGGCTTTTGATGCAATATCATGAGAATGTTCCTAAAACGGTGGAAGATTTAACTGATAAAAGAGATAAGGACTTATGGATAGAAGCGATGACAAGAGGAATTGATTCATTTGAAAAGAATAAAACATGGATAGAAACTGAAACTCCTAAGAATACTGAGATATAGGGACCTATTTGTGTGGCAGATCTCAGTATGTTGAGCATGAAGGCTTCATATCGCTTATGTTCGTTCCTTTCTCTTCTGACCGTACCTCAAGGATCCAGCCGGGAAGTCCTCTACTATTCAATATTGCAATTACATGTAACAAGCTGGCATATACTGAAGCTTTTTCTGCTGATAGTTTTTGTTGAGGATTGTATAACTTTGTAAATCTATTCCTGGTGATTGGTGCACTTGCACTCCTTTTTGATTATTCAATTGGCGATGCTTCCCTGGTCGGGCTTAGGCAGACTCGTGATCTTAGTGTAATTTTTGATTATCAGCTCATGTTTACTCCACAGGTTGAGCATATTTGCACTGCATGACTTCAAAAGTTTGGTTTCAATAACGGTGAAAATTTCACTCAGAAAACTACCTTAAAGCTTTTATATAACAATTTTATTCGCTACAAGTTGGAGTACGCTTTTTTAATCTGGAATCCATCATGTAATTGCCATCTAGTCAGTATCGAGTTCGTTCAGAAAAGATTTCTTGAATATATCTGTCATACAGACTGGATGGTACGTATCCCCTCATCAGGGGTCTCGACAATAATCTGCTTTTATCGCCTAATGATGGAGCTCCCCTTGGCGATAAGAAGGAAGGTTCTTGTTGCTGAATTCTTATAAAACTTTCTTCATAACAAGGTGGATTGTATTTTTTTTGTTAATAAAATCGCTCTACATGTTCCCCGTGTTGAAGGAAGATAACGGCATTCCTTCCACACACAGATCGCTACAATAAATGTCGTTTAGGAGTCTTGATCTCTCACATTTGCGATAATTTCGGGGATCCTTTCTCTTTGATTGCGAACACGATTAAGTTATCGATTATTAGATTATAGATTTAGCTACTGACTATTGTAAGTATACGTTATAGAGTTAAGTACTATTACTGTGATTTTGCCTTAGGTCTTATTAAATCAAATAACCAAGCTCACACATGCATATTTGTCCCAGCAATTGCTCGGACAACATATTTTGGAGTTTAACTACGATTAATAAAACGAAGATTTCCTATACTGAGGAAAACCACCTATATAAAATATTATTTCCCCAAATCTCAAATTCTTGAAACGTTTACTAAAGAAAAGTAAATGTTGCAACCATGTATGCGCTATGAAATTTAGGGGAGATCGAGGACGCCGCCACGAAAAGTGTACCGAAAGGGTAGGTAGATAGAAAATGAGAGTCTAAGGAAGAAGGTTGTCTGCTATTGTTCATTATTCAATTTTTATTTTGTATTAAATTGATTGTTCAATTCAACTTGTGATTAGTTTGTGTGTCATAAGGAGCATTCACAGGTCAGTTTAATAAATGCTATTTATTTTTGAGAGTTCAATTTATACACGTATTATTTTTTTCATTTTTATACTTTTTTGTTTGCTTATACTATATTTTATAACATGTGCATTGTTCATGTATTTAACAAAAATAATTTCATGGTATAAGCTGAGACAGAGACCAACTTAACTTCTTCAGTAAAACATACTTAATTTGATTCAACAAACTATATACATTAAAAATGGACTATAAATCAACTATAAATATACTACATATATATCAACATAAGAAGTCTAAGAAACAAAATGGAGGACTTAAATGACATAATACAAGGCCAACAAGAAACTATACATATAATTATTCTCAGTGAAGCATGGATCTATCCTAATGAAGTTGAATATTCAAATTTGCCCTCATACACTGCTATCCACAACTGCAGAACAACATGTGGTGGTGGCACAGCGATTTATATAGGAGATAGCATATATTATGTAAATACCACATCAGGAAAAAAAACATGGAAGATTATAACATCGCCTCCATATACCTACCAAGCTAAAAACTAAACCTATATGGAATCTACAGACCACCACAAAACCAAATACAAACATTTATTCCAACCCTAGATGAGATCTTAGAATCCAAAAAAAAGCTTGTATTATAATTGGTGATATAAATCTGAACTTGTTGAAGACGTCTCAGGCATAAAGTGACTACTTAAATATAATAGAAATGAACGGTTTTCAGTAAAAAAACAAATTAACAAGGGACGAAGCAACAGACAGAAAAACAGCATCCATACTGGAGCATATCTTAACAAACAAAAATTTGGAATGTAAGATAAATATTGAGGATGATTTTATATCAGACCACAAAATTGTTTTCGTGAAGGTTGAAAGAGAAATACATAAAAGGGAAAAAGAGACTATTTTGAGAAACTATCTGAATTCTGTAGCACGGCTGTATAAACTAGAAGAAAAAATAGAAAACACAGAAATCCAGTAATTTAAGTAACTAGCTGGGATCATTAATGACACAAAAAAGTAGTGTACCACATAACGGAAAATAAAAATTCAAGAAAACAACTATTGGATAACAACAGATTATATGAAAAAAATCAAGGAACGAGACAGACTGTACATTAGATGGAAAAAAGTTGAAAATAAATATGTGGAATAAGAATACAAAAAACTACCAAACGAAGTTAATAATATGAGGAAGAATTTGCAGAGAGCATATATGCAGAGAGAAAGTTTACAGAAGCAGAAGGAAACAGCAGAAAAACGTGGGGCATAATGAATGACATCTATAGAAGGAGAAACCATTATAAACAGAAAATAACCAGTATAATTAGCCAAAATGGACACACTCTAACAAATTAAAAGGAAAAAGCAAACGAATTTAACAACCAGGTACTTCACAAATGTTGGTGAAAAATTAACATCTCTGATAAATACAAACCAAAATACAATCTTTCAGGAAGAAGAAGTAAATGAAACAATTTTTTTCAGGCCAATTGATGACACAGAACTCAAAGAATTGATATGAAACTTGAAAAACCACAGTGCCCCAAGATACGATGATATTAACAAAAAAGATCTAACTAGCTATTACAACACCATTGCAAATACTCTGATTAAACTTATAAACGGAGTCCTAGAAACTGGAATTTACCCACCTAAATTAAAAATAGGAAAAGTTATACCAATATACAAGAATGGAAAACAAACAGAAGTGGGTAACTATAGGCCAATAACATTATTGAGTACTTTTGCAAAGGTTCTAGAGAAAGTGATAAAGGAAAGGCTAGTAAAATTAATTAAAAAATCCTTCAAATTTGACACTAGCCAATATGGTTTCCAAAAAGAGAGTAACACCCTGGGCACAGCGGTCGACCTCTTGGAGCATATCACTGACAATCTGAACCAAAACAAATATGTGGCCAGAGTATTTAACGACTTGAAAATGGCGTTTGATACAGTGGACATAAACTTAATGCTAAATAAACTATACAAAATGGGCTTTAGAGGTGTGTATCATGAACTGCTAAAAACATATTTAGTAAACAGAAAAAACTTTACAGAAGTCGACCATCAACGTGATGAACAATATGCAAAGGTCGGGGTTGCTCAGGGATCTGTATTGGGCCCTCTGCAATATCTATTATACGTGCATAGTCTTAAATATGCTGGAATAAAATCAAAATATTACATGTTCGCAGACTATACCGTTCTAGTTAGCGCTGCGAAAACTAAAGGAGCACTGGAAAAAAATATAAACTGTGATCTCAGGAAATACTATGAATGGCTGTGTCACAATATACTTAGTGTAAATACTGAGAAAACTGTGTATACCTATATGGTTATTAAACAAAATGGTAAACCAGCATAAATGACTATTAAATTAAACAATACAATCCTCAAGGAGGTACGACAATATAAATATTTGGGGCTAATTGTTACAAACAACTTGACTTGGAATGTACACATAAAGCATATATAGACTATTCCACACCTACAGAGACAATATATAAAAAGTATCCATTCTTAAAGGTTAGACAAATAAAACAATGTGAACAGTCTAAACATACAATGAGCTACCAAAGACTATTCAAAGTGAGAGGTTAGCAAAATTCATAGTGTGAAAAAAAAATTTAAGAACAAAAATTGACAGCTAAAAAAAAATATATATATATAATAATAAAAATAAAAAAAAATCAGTGCAGAATTATATACCTAATGTAAATATATTAACCTCAACTAAATTGTAATTTATATTAAGAAATTTGTAAAATCTATTAGGTCTCGGTGCCAGTACGCTAGTACCGTTTTGAGGTCATGTATAAATAAATAAATAAAAAAAAAAACAGAAAAAACGTGATTTATTTCAATATTTTGTAAAAGATTTAGCTGATATTCAGTTAACGAGAGCAACAATTTGAAAAACATTGTAAAATATTTAATATTGTTTCCCAGTAGAAATGTATTTATTTATCTATTCTTTTTTTTCTCATCAACATATTTAGCGATACTTATTATTTATTAATCTTAGACTAAAAAGCATATTTCCTAGTAATTTTTCATCATTAATTGCATACATTATTGACGTATCAGTAGGTATATAAACCTATGCCTAAAATAATATTCCCTACATTGTATCCTAGTTATTCACCAATTGCCTCTCTAAACAGCAAGATGAATAAGTTATTTGTAGTGTTCCTGGTGGTCGTAATTGCTGGGCTTTTAGGTAAAAATTCAAATTTATTTTTCAATATAACTAAATATTTTTAGAAAAGAATCAAGTTACCATATTCATTTATTTTTTGCAAAAATCTATATGTAATATCAAAAAATATCTACACCTTTTCCGAGAGTATTTTAGAAATTTTCAATTGTATTTCAGAATAGTCATTTGTATTTCAGAAATTCTCATATGAATAATGGAAAAATATAGTATTTTTAATACCCATTTAAAATAACCCCATCAATCACGAATCAGATGAAACAAGAAATTACCAACAAAACCGAAAAAGTAAATTAATTTAGGAAAGTAGCAAATAAATTTTTGAATTACCAAGTTAAGTTACGAAACCGTCATTTGTATTGTCAGTGATTGAGACCTCTTCAAAGTATCTATTAGCTTTATATTAGACAAAAATTATTAATTGGTGTGTTATTTGTACTTTTCAGTTGGAGTCCTGGCTGAACCCGCACCCCCTTGTGAATGTCACTGTAGTGGGGAGGATAGAGCTTGCAGAGGTATAAACGATTGCATTAACAAATGCGATTCGGAAGGTTGCACTCAGCAAGTAATTTGGGCATGCTACTGTAGGGAAGGATATTGCTTAAATGAGGACGACGTTTGTGTACCCATATGCTATGATTAATTTTTACACGTCCTGTATAAATACAAGGATGCAAATTATATCCAATATATACATAATTAATGCTTGATTAACCCTAATTATTCCTGTAGTCTTATTATAATAAAAATTAAACATTTCATCAATAGATTAATTTGATTTATTTTATTGTGGGCAAATTAAAGATAAATATGTATTAAATTCCAAAATAAAAACTCAGTCTTCCTAAACAAATACTTTAATAAATTAAATTAAAGCCCTACATGTTTCGAGATTAGAAAACCTCATCAGGAGCAAATTAGCGCAGATGTTACAGTGCCGGAATTAGGTGTACAGTCGGAATCTGAGATTGTCAAAGAAGAACAAAATCAATAGCAAATTCATATTCTTGGTTCAAGCTCATTTTTCGTGGGACAAGTTTTATTTTTATAGATAGTTAAAATGTGACCCTAATGAAATTTACAAACACATAGAGTTCTGCGAATGACCCAATCTGTTCGAGGGTAAAAATCACTTGAAAGCCAGAAAAGTATCGAATTTTATAGCTTCAAGATTATTATTGCTGTAACCCGAAATTAACAAATATATGGGCAAAATTTATGTTTTCCTAGATAAACACTAAACTTTAAACTAATCTGTCGACTGACCAGATTCCATTTGGTTGTAATAATTTATTCAAAGTCAAGGATAATCTTCTGAATACCCACATTTTATGACGAACCCAGATGTCAGGTTACTGATACCATTGCTAGAAAGAAATTATATTTGAAGCATGTGTGTGTGGAGCGAAGCAATAATCACATGAGCTGGATTTTTAAGATACAATAACAAATTTTCTAACAATATAATTATCAAGAGTGAAATGTTAACTGAAAGATAGTCAAATGCTTAGTTATAATTAAGATATAGGTAGGTTAAGATAGGAGTGATTACTCAATTATTTTATTATTAAATTAATAAAGGTTAGTTTAGTTCATTTCACACCCTTGATAATTAGGTTAGAAATTAGGGAACTTTTATTTTATTTACTCGACTAGGTTAGAAATTAAGAAATAAGAATAGAAAGCAGTTTGAATGGGGAAGGTTGAATAAACTTGAGAACCAATGAGAAATCAACAAGAAACCAGAGGGTACTTTAAGCGAATCGCTGAAAGCTAAGCGGATTGGAGGTCTTTCAGTTTGTCGATTCTCGCAAGCCCGGTACTAAGGGGTAGCCAATGGGCTTCTAAAGTGTTACCCAGAGGGTGGTTCCTTATCGAGTTATCGCCAATTCGCCACTAGTTTTTACTACTAGTTATCGCCGTAAATTTAAGTCGCAAAGTCTCAATGAGTTATCGATCCGTTTTTCATCCTCTAGTTCATCTGCCGCCCGGTGTTTTAGTAAAAGCTCTTCAAAGAGGTGATAGTTTATTTTTAATTTCAATTCCAATGAAGTGTCAGATTTGGAACTAAATCTTTTAATTGGGAAATTAGTCTTCAATAACACCTTTCCATAACCACTCCAAGAAGAGAAGAAAGAAGATTTCGTTCAGATTACCTCCGGTTCAGAAAACTGTTATTTACTGCTTCACATCAAATTTACTTTTCAGCATAATTTATCACGAAATTTTAAGATGTGACACGCTACCAAAATATCAATTCTTACATAACATCTCAATTTTGTCACAGAAAGAAAATCTTGCAAAAACTAAAATTGAGTAAATTCGAAAATATAATGCATAAGAATTGCCGATGTGCACTGCTGCTAAAGGACTTGCTTCTTGATCTAGAACATGATCGAACACAATACAAGCAACACGTAAAAGAAAAAGTGGTTCAATATCGTCAACAATTCAAGAACTTGTCACCATACGAAAATGAAATTTGCCACAAAATCAGGATTACAGTCAAGTACTAACCAGCATTGACAATCACCTTACGGAACTAATTAAAGTTAGGAAGAGGAAATTGAACTACAATTGAAATATCCTGAGTCAATTATTGTAATTATTGACGCATGTTAGGAAAATGTACCTGAAGAACAAGCCTTTGAAGAAAATTACGAGTCAGATGCGTCTGAACATGAATCAGCGCAAGAGGCATCTGCAAATGACTCAGATTCATGAAACTTGCGGCAACAATTAGAAAAATTCCTAAATAAAGAATATCTGTTACGTTAAAATTTATGTATTTGTATTATTAATTAATAGATAAATTTTCAACAAGCTGTTGCCTCGTTGCCTGACTTTCACACAACATTTCTGGTTATTGCATGTGAATGGTTGTACCCCATCGGTATTGTGTCAGCTATCGATGTTAACAGATATGGCCGTAGAAGAATTTTCAAATCTTTGACACTGTATGTTGAAAAAATCTTTTTATTCAGAAAAACCAGTCGTGGATTTCCTAAGTTGCCTACGGGCGGTGGAACAATTGACACATTTGGTACCACAGCCGAATTTTTCGAAAAACTGATTTTTTACAGCTATAATGCCTTCATCAGTTTCTAGATATCGAATAAATCCATTGAGTGGTATCAGAATTGCTGCTATTACATTATGTAGGCTTCTGATGCTCACATGGCACAAAACAAGTCTTTGCCCACAGAGAACAACAATTTAACATTGTAAAATATTTAATATTGTTTAACAGTAAAAATGTAGCTATTTATTTATCTATTCTGTTTTTTCTCACCAACATTTTTAGCGATAGTTATTATTTATTAATCTTAGGATAAAAAAGCACATTTCCTAGTAATTTTTCATCATTAGTTGCAATCAATATTGACATATCAGTAGGTATATAAATGTGTGCCTAAGATAACATCCCTAGTTTTTCACCAATTGCCTCTTTGAACAGCAATATAAGATGAATAAGTTATTTGTAGTGTTCCTGGTGGCCGTAATTGCTGGGCTTTTAAATAATAAAGCAGCTTCACATGATGATCATCTTCTTGAAAGTAAAGTTCTTTTGTAGCTTTAATTACTTTTCTATAAATAATTCGTTACTTTGTAAACAACTTTCTTCAAAGTATTTATTAGCTAGGAATTAGAAAAATGGTGTGTTATTTGTATTTTTCAGTTGGAGCCGAGGCTGGTCTCGATCTAGATCTCGGTACTTCTTGTGATTCTCACTGTCCTGGGGACAGAGTTTGCAGATATTCAAACTTTTGCATTAACAAATGCGGTTCGAAAGGTTGCACAAAGAAAAAATATTATGGATGCTACTGTGAGGAAGGATGTTGCGCAAATGAGGACAACGTTTGTGTACCCATATACTAATTTTTACACGTCCTGTGTAAGGATGCAAATTATATCCAATATTTACATACTTAATGTTTGATTAACAATAATTATACCTGTCTTATTTTGATTCATTATAATAAAAATTAAACATTTCAATAATAGATTAATTTGATTTATATTATTGTGGGATAATAAAAAATACCAGAAAATATATTATATTCCTGTATTTGATGACTGTGAGTATCAATTAAAAGTCTAGGACGTAAACATAGATATATAATTATCGTTTGTAATAGTCTTGTTGTTGAATGATCAAAATTTATTTTTTATTTGTTCGATCTCAATCGAATTTCATTTATTAGTTAATTTGGTAATTCTAGGGAAACTGAAAACAAGGTTCATTGTATAAATTTAATGTATATTATATTTTTTGGGCTATATATAAAATTTGCCCAGCCTACACTAGGCCTGGTTCATCCAGGCACCTTTTTGCAGAGGTACCTCTGTATAGTATGGGTACCGCATTTCCACTCTCGAGCATCTGAGCGCCAAAAATACGCGCGATGTATTGGGAGAAAGGGAAGAAAGACGCATATTAGCAATTCTACGAACAATGTAAATTCTTGGCCTAATTTTAAACCTATTTTTCTGACGGATTTACAAACCGTTATTTTTGCAATAAATAAAACGTGATACCTCGCTTACGGCTTAGACTTTGTCTAAAATTTACGTGCGTGTCGTTACAGTATTTATGTATTTTTTTTTTTTAAACCAGAAGAAAAACCTTCAAGGGTACCACTGGAATTGGAACAAAAAACGCATTGGCTAGTTTTTCATAATTGGAAATTTCTTGTATACTTTAGTTTCCACCTTTTATGTTGCACTTGTTAATTCTCCATTGAAAAAAATGAACGTTGTTTGTCAAATCTGTTGATAAATTTCTTCACTTCCTGATTAATGCAGATGAAGTTCCATCATAAGGTGTCTTCGATGATTGCTATTTGAATATTGAAAGTGACATAATTTCCACTAAATAAATTCAATATTTAAAAATAATATGTAGTTTGAAAATTAGTTTAAAAAAATAAAAATACCAAAGATAATTTTTGTAATACATTATATTGTTGAATAAAATTTTTTTCAATAAATTTTCTGTTATTTTACATTTGCACACAATAATAGAAATAAAATCAATCTATTAATGAAATGTGCAATTTTTATTATAGTAAATTAAAATACAGGTATTATTGAATAATTTTCATCCAGGACACAAACGTTGTAGGTACTCATTAGCGCATTGGTGGATCCACCCTTAGGGGTCCAGCCAGAACTCCAACTGGAAAATACAAATAACAACATTGATAATTTTTGTCTAAAATCTAGCTAATAAATACTTTGAAGAATAGTGTATATTTTTTGTCCTTACTTGAAAAGTATCGAATTATTTATAGAAAGGTAATCAAAGCTACAAAGGAACTTAACTTTAGCAAACGAATTACCAATTCTAATAACACTCAAAATGAAATGAGAGGTAAAAGTTCTCGTCCACCGGACTCTTCATTCATCTACTAACAACGTAAGTAGGTATTTTATTTTTCTCTATAGCTGGAGCTCTTTCGTCTCAGCTCCGACTCGAGGGTCAATCCCTTAGACTATTTAGAAGACAAGAATGTCCCAAATTCCTTCTTGGTAGATGTTTGATTATGGAGCAAACGGTAGAATAATACAAAGAATTCTCAAAGAAGATATAAAGAAAAAACAACGAAGCATCAATGAAAGAGTCAGTTATCGCCATAGCTATCGCACTTGTCTTTTTCTCTCTCAACGAAATCAATGAAGAGAAGGTAGAGATAGATATGTTGATTACATACTAGACATTTGCAAAAAAGGTAACTTCAACTGTTCCAAAAATTGAAG